TGGGTGCTCGTATGCGTATATGTTGGGTGTATGGTCGGGAACCACTGTGAGCAGTCTGATTCATGATTAGTCGGACATGACTTGCGTTGAAGTGGAGATGGTGTGGTATGGAATAAGGTTGTGCTTTGGTTTTCCTATGATGCCTAGCCAGGCTCTCGAGACTGCACCTCCTGGGGAGTCGGAAGGGAGTCCGCAAGTGTTTTTGCCAGTACAGGATTCAGCGATGGAGCGGTACTATGACCAGCTTGCTTCTAGTGATGAGTGTAGTAGCTATACGGCAGCTGCTCCTAGTGTGGATGAGGTAGGCAGGATGGGGTTAGAGAAGTTGCGCGAGGTGTGGTATGGGGACAGAGTTCGGAGCTCCTATCAGCGATGGACGGGGCTGACTGGTCGGATCCTGTGGTGATACGCTTACTACTACGGAAAGTGAAACGGTATTTGAAAAAGGCGGTTAGAGTCCAGCGGGAAGTAGGAAGTGTTTTGGGGCGATCGATTTTGGATACTCGGAGCTGTTTTAGTTGGCGAATAGCAAGGAAGAGCTCCGCGCGGCGTATGCTGATATGGAAACCATGCGAAATGATATTGCGTAATACGTTAGTCTGTAGGGCTAGTTCTGGAGAGGCCTTTTTTTACGTAAAGGGTGTTTCGAAACCTCGTGAGCACTCTTTGAGTACACAGACGTCGGTCACATCTTCCTCCACGCGCCACGAAAAGGACCCAATATTGCCTTTATGATGATGCTGGCCGAGTTTGTGCGAAATTTAGGTCATAAACTCCCCTAGGGAGGTGCTCATGAGGTTTTGAAACGCCTTTCCTTTTTCGGGCGCGGCAGGGCCTATTGCCATCTCGACGACATAGCCCTGCTCAGACTGATAGCTTGACGCAGGCTGCCAGTAGTCCTGATGAAATTGTCTACCATCCGCGCGAATATATCGCCTCAATCGCAGAAATACTAATATAAGGGTACACTCGGTATGGATCTCGACTCGATCGAAGCTACTATGCGCCCATGTGGCCATCGTACGAAATAGGGCGGCGCCTCTTCCGGAGATGAAGTCGTGATTGATCATTGAGTGGTTTAGATATCTCCAGGAGGATCTGGACAGGAAGCTGGCACTTGAGAAGAAACTGTTGACAGAAAGGGATGGATCCAAACAGAAGGAGGAGGAGCTGATGAAACTTGTGAGGAAAATGTAGGCCACTGTGAGAAGCAGGCTGAATGCCATTTTGAGAGGAAGTATTGGAATATATGTTATCTCACTGATTATGGGAGTTGATATGCGAATTACGGTAGAAATGTAGCGAAAACCAACAAGAAATTCCAAAAATTTCCTCAAAATTTTCGTTTCGTCACCGACACATGTAGTCGGCTTTCTTGGACTGACCAGAATTCACTATTTCTGGCAGTGTTGGGAAATATGTTGGCTTTCCTCAGCTAAGTTCACGAGTTTCCGCACTGATTATAGAAGTTTACATACAAATTCGGGTAGAAGTGTACAGAAACCAATGAGAGTTTCCTAAATTTTCCTCAGAATTTTCTCAAATGTCCTCTACACATGTAGTTGACCATGTGTGTATTTTCGCACACCGATTTCTTGTGATAGTATGCGAGTTGTCGCAGGTACGGTACGGATCCCGCTGAGGCATATGTTGCGTTGTTGAACACGAATGAGGAGATGCAGAATGAGATGGATGCTGTCATTGAAGTGAGCTGCGGTGAGGGGAAATATGCACATGGTCAACTACATGCGTATATGACTTTAGCGGAAATTCTGAGGAAATTTTCATTGGTTTCTGTACACTTCTACCCGAATTTGTATGTAAACTCCTATAATTAATGAGGAAACTCCTGAACTTAGCTGAGGAGAGCGTACATATATTCCAACACTGGTGAGCTGAGGAGAGTTAGAGATTAGAAATCAAACTTGTTATCTTTAGGAACGCGACGATCTCTGTCAAGAAGTCGAGAAGCTCCAGAAGCAGGTGGATGATTTTCAGGAGCAGTCCAGCCTGCCGACTCCTGGTGGAGATGAAGAGCTGCTGATTCCTGGTAGGAGTGCGTGGTGGGGTTTGGAGTTTCACCCGTTCAACGTGAAGTGGTGTAATACTCCATGTAAATATTAGATAGCTCAACAAGAGTTACTAACAAGAGGTTCTCAGCTTATGATCAATACAGTAGTCATAAAATATACGCTAGGCCAGCAAGGGAGACAAGCATCACAAGAATCTAAAATTACAGGAGATCATTGTGTTCAACATTCCCTTACACCGTCTACGATGAAACTATTGTTTCCCGCGAAGCGGATTGTAAAATATATTTTCTAGTAGTCTTTTTCATACTGTAGACTCTGAGGAGGAAAAACAGAAGCTTGAGGAGCTGTCGCGAAAAGTGGAGCGACTGCAGACGGAGAACGCCGAGTTGAGGCGAAAAGTTGAAGATTGTGAAGCAAGAGATGATGGAGGCTCTCCGGAGGCATCACGTGGTAGGCTGAGGAATTTTAGGTTCTTTTCGAAGGAAACCGTCTTATTTCGTCTTAGGAGTTATCCAAGCCTTGGCTCAGGAGAATGTAGAGTTGAAACGGCAGTTGAGGAGTCGGTACGTGGAGTAGTCCTGATGGGAGGCGAGTGAGTGGGTCTGTTAGGGAGGTGGAGTTGTCTGGACTGAGGGCTGATCTTCAGGAGCATCAGAATGGTAGTGCTGGAGAGGATTCTACCAAGGTAGGGGCGGGAAGGGGACGGGGGATAGCAGTGTTGGAGTATATGTTCGCTTTTCCCACAGTGTTGGGAAATAAGTTCGCTTTCCTCACAGCGTTGGAGTATATGTTCGCTTTCCTCACATTATTGGAGTATATGTTCGCTTTCCTCGCAGTGTTGGAGTATATGTTCGCTTTCCTCGCAGTGTTGGAGTATATGTTCGCTTTCCTCGCATTATTGGAGTATATGTTCGCTTTCCTTACAATGTTTGAATACGGTTTCCTCACTTATCATGGAAATTTACGTATGAATTGGAGTAGAAGTGTATGGAAACCAATAAGACTTTCAGGAAATTTCCTCAGAATTTTCATATTTTCACCAACATACATATGTAGTTGACTATGTGCATACTTCCCACACTGCAAGGTTATTGTTGGCAGTCACTATAGTGTTGTTCAATTTAATACGTGGCTCGTACAGTGTGAACCAAACAGTTATGCATATCTAGATTTTCGAGATGGCTTCCTCCAATTAGGGAATATAATTATAGACTATGTAACGCTTCTGCAACGTTGTCAATCGATTCACATTGTTATCATGTTGATATTACTTAGTATAACGGTTTGGTTCACACTGTATAGGCGAACGGCCATATTTCGAGATCATCCGTGCCACGGTAGTCTATGCGTGTTTGGAGGTTTCCGATTTAGGCAACCGATCGACTTCGACAAGAATTGAAGGAACTCCAACAACAACACGATGAGCTATGGACGCATCTGAATAAAGTTCTGCTATTCTCAGCCGTAGTTGCTCATGTACAGCTGTGTTACTGTTGTAGGCGTTGGAGGACAAGTGGGATACTGAGGAGGAACTGCGGGCCCTCAGGAACCAGGTGGGGATCTCTGAGCTTGCCACGATTGCCAATTTTACTGAAGGTGTTTCAGAAGTTCACTACAGTCGCAGTTGACCCGCAAGAAGCTGGCCAGGACTCAGCAGATCCGCGGCAAGTTGAGGAGACTATTGCCGAGCCGCTGTCAGAGAGTATAGTGGGGAAAAATGATAAGAAGATTGTTGAGGCACCTTCGACCGCTACTTCTAGCCCGGTGACACAGGCCTGTCATGAGGGCACTCTCGCAGCGAGGGACATGGGCAGTTCAGTATCGGGTGAGCTGTGATTTTCGTGGAATGCATTTCATTATAATAGAGTATTGAAGAGGCATAGGAGTTGTGTGTGATTAGATACTGGCTCGGTTTTGGCAAAAGCAATACTTTAGTTACTGCCTTGACTCGTTGTGAATATATGTCATACTTTTCTATTGTTGTCCCATTGGGGCATGCCTGCGTAATCGGGTTCGTGATAGTTCCTCACTAACAATATATGACCTGTTTTCCCCATAGTTCATGTTGTGTTTCGAGTTTAGTTATCGGAGGGTCAGCGGAGGGCTATGGTCACAGATTTCGAAACAAGTCATTTCGACATCACTTTTCAACAACTTATGTAATTTCAAATTACGTAAGATGAATTTCGTATATAACGATGTTAGAAAGTGTGCTGCGAAGTGAACATACACCAAGTAGTTCGCAGGCGTCTATGAGGTCATCCGATCTTGTAGGGTGATGAATGCGTACAAACGTGTGAGTCGCAGCAGATGTATTCTCTGTTGGAGGAACGTCGATCAGTCGAGCCTCTTGAAATCATCGTCTTCTTATAGAGATGGGTGTTGGAATATATGTTCACTCCCCTCAGCTGAGCTTAGGTAGAAGTGTACACAAGCCAATGAGAATCTTCCTCAGAATTTTCATTTTCTCACCAACACATGTGGTTGACCATGTGCACATTTTCCCACACTCGAGCCGCTCGATAGATGTCTGAGAAAGCCATATGCAGTTCCAGCTCGATTCACGACATGATCATAGTTGAACTTCATTGCGCTGCTGGAAGTGCTTTCTCGGGCGGCGAGAAATGAGCCCTGTTTCTGTACACTGCACTGTTCAGCATCTTATCAACTTTCTGCTGAGGGTTGTTGAGTGATATCACAGCATCATTATCGCGTGATTGTCGTTGTTGTTTTTGATGATGTCCCTTGTGTCGCTGTGTCGGCATGCAGCTGTCCCAGTAGGAGCAAAGGCAACAGCGTGCTGGCCTGGCTTGTGTTGCCTCATTCCAGCACATCGTGAACAGTTCGAAGGAGCCTCCAGGAAGTGCCCGATGAAGGCCATGAGTGAAACTGCGTTCATGCAAGTATCAGAGAGAAGCAAATCCGACCAGTACTTCACCACCTGCCGAGATTGGGTCTCCCGCAATATTCTGCGCTTACCGATTCCTGATATTGTGCGGTTGGTATTCGCATTTGCTCACAACGATGACAAGGAGGGCGCTCGGGAACTGGCTCGGCGTGTTCTAATCCGGCAGGAAGACTTGCTGGACCAAGCCAACGGGCGCGATCTTGCGAGGCTTCTCAGCACACTGGCCAACTTTGGCGTGCGTGAACACGAGACTGGTATGCAGGACATATTCGAGAATGCATTCCCTGCCCTAGTGAATAGGACTGGGCAAATGCGGTCTTATCAAATCATTGCTCTCTGTGGCGCCTATAAGAGGGTCGGCATCTTTAGTAACGACTTGGCGGCGAGTCTGGCGCGACGGGTTATGCTGCTTGGTGGTGACGACAACCAATTTGATGCGATTCGGGCTCTTCTCGGTATCATGGGAAACCTCAGTGTTTGCATTGATCGGGAAATCCTTGGTACCTTAGTGGAGGCCGCTGCTGTTCATGAACTACAGGGGGAAGTCTGCGCATTCCGCTTAGCGGTTTTGCTGCAAATTTGCACTAAACTCGACCTAGAGGAACACCCTCGATTTCACGAGATGATGAGTGCCGTAGCAGCAGAGATGAATAAATGGCCATCTCGGCCGTCGAAGCCTCTGGTGGACACTCTCAACCATCTCATGTTATCATTGGTGTGTCGGCATCGCCCTAGCGAGCGTCGACTCGCCCTCGCTGAGCTCAAGGAGGCCCTGCTTCGTAGTGTCCTCGAATACTTGGCTCATTCTGGCGTTAGCCCGTCGGCGTTGGACACGTATTGCCAGATCAATCTCTGTGTTATCGAGCTGCATATCAGACTAGAGCGGCCATTCTTATGGTGTGAGTTGAGCGATAAATCGCGAGACTTCTTGGCTGTAGTCTCCCAGGTAAATGTAGACGAACTGTTTGCGGCTATAACGATGTTGTTTTGATCAGCTTCGGGTCAACAATCAGTATGATGCGCTCCCGGCAATGTCCTCGCAGCAGCACTTAGTGGTCTCTCGGGAGCTTACGGATCTGGGAGTGTCGCACACTTTGGAGGTATGCCGGTCTTCTGATGGCTTTCTGATTAGTCCTTAGGTAGCGTTACAGCAGCCCTATGTGATCGACATCGCCATCTCGGGCTCGAGGAAGTTGCTTGAGATTGATGGGCCACGGCATTTCATCAACGGGTACCGTAGAAGACACACTCGAGGGAATGAAGATATACTTTAGGTCTGAGCGCCCGACAGTGACGACTGAGCTGAAGCATCGGCTGTTAACTCATCTCGGGTACGATGTACGGCATATTAGATGGGACAGTTGGCCTACTCATAAGCATGCACAACATGCTTACCTTAGAGAAGTTCTTTATGGTCGCCCTAGTATAGCTAATTCATGACATATCTTTCTGACTGCTGTTTCCGTCACTTCCTTGCTTTGAGATTGCGAGTCAACTGTGGGTAATGGATAGCAAGAGAAATTGTTCAGGAGAACCTTGTGAATAGCAGAACGTGTCTGGGGAGTAATGGAGCCCTAAGTGAACTTGGTCAGTGATTCTGTGCTGCGACCTGTCATTTTTCGTATCGTATAATCACAACCGTCATGCCAGAACGGCCTAAGGGAATGAGTCTGGACGGGAAATAAGGAGGGGACGCTTGATGAGCCCCTGTGATGGCTGATCACATCTTGTACAACTTTCGAATTTGTAACACGCTACACACTGTACTGCGCAGGAATGCCGAAACGTATCACAATCAGTGAAAGGATTGATGTCCGAAAACTAACGTGTCCCGGGGAAAGATGTTTTGAGATAATCCTCCAATGGTGGCCATGTTGGCTCATGAATGTGGCTTCTCCCTAGAGTTCTTCCCAGCACGACCCAGTATGTTTAAATTGGCCAGCAAGGTCGAGAATTCTTCACACTCGCAGCTCACCAGTGGATGATTTTCAAGATATGCTTTTCCGCGAGATTATTTACTAGTGGCGTTGCTCTATAACAAGGCATTGTCTCAGATAGTGTGTAAAAATCGGCATTAGGGTAACCTTAACCGAAACGAGGAATTCCAAATTAGACACGTATCATCATAGACAACCAACTGTTTTCTCTCCTCTTTGACTATCACCCAAATATCGGGATCATTAATGCATCTCAGACAGTGTGTTAAGATCGGCATCGACCAAGGCCTGGCCGAAACGAGGAATTCCAATTTAGACACGTTTCATCATTGATGCTTCTACCAGTATATCTCGTCAGAATGGTGTGTACTCAATCAGCATCGAGCGAGGTGCTCTGACTGAAACGAGGAATTCCAATTTAGACACTTTTCATCATTCGAGACTGGCTATTCAATCAGTTAGGACGTGTGCACTCAACGCGAGGCGCGCTGCGATATTAAGCACGAAAAGGAACCAGTAGAAAAACAGTGTTTGGAAGAAGAAACACAGATAAACACACTTTACAACTCATCAGGAGAATCGTAGTAATCGTCATCGTCCTCATCCTCCTCGTCGGCAGCACCAGCATTGTAGTATTTGGAAACAATAGGAGCGCAAACACCCTCGACCTCCTTCTGCTGATCCTTGATCTCATCAGGCTCAGCCGTCTCACCGTTAGCCTGGAGCCACTCCTCACCATCACTAACAGCATCGAGGACCTCGTTCTTCTCGTCCTCGTCCATCTTATCACCGAGACCCTTGAAGGAGCCACTGCCCTCGACGGCAGAGCGCATTGCTCGTAGGTAGCCATCGAAAGCGTTTCTGGCATCCAAACGCTCCTTCACCTTCTTATCCTCTTCAGCGTACTTCTCGGCATCTTTGATCATAGACTCAATCTCATCCTCGCTGAGACGACCCTTATCGTTAGTAATGGTAATCTTCTCAGATTTTCCAGTACCCTTATCCTCAGCCTTGACGTTGAGAATACCGTTAGCATCAATCTCGAAAGTGACTTCGATCTGAGGCTGCCCACGGGGAGCCGGAGGAATGCCCGAAAGCTCAAACTTGCCAAGCTGATGGTTATCCTTGGTGAGAGGACGCTCACCCTCGAAGACTTGGATGCTGACAGCAGGCTGGTTGTCCTGGTAAGTGGAGAAGGTCTGGGACTTCTTCGTCGGGATAACGGTGTTGCGACCGATGATCTTGGTCATGACACCGCCAACAGTCTCGATACCAAGAGTAAGAGGAGTCACGTCTAATAGCAGAAGATCCTGACCAGCCTCGCCCTTCAAGATGCCACCCTGGACAGAAGCACCATAAGCAACAGCCTCATCAGGGTTGATGCCACGGTTGGGCTCCTTGCCATTGAAGTAGTCCTTAATAAGGGATTGAATCTTGGGGATACGAGTAGAGCCACCGACGAGAACGACCTCGTCGATATCGCCCTTGCTCATGCCGGCATCGGAAAGGACAGACTTTACGGGGCCTAGAGTGTTCTTGAACAAATCAGCGTTGAGCTCCTCGAAGCGAGCACGAGATAGAGTCTCAGAGAAATCAATGCCATCCATGATGTTCTCGATCTCAATGCGGACCTGGTGAGTGGAGGAGAGAGCGCGCTTGCCCTTCTCGACCTCACGACGAAGCTTGGCCAAGGCACGCTTGTCAGTGCGAAGATCCTTGTGATTCTTCTTTTGGAAAATCTTGATAAAATGATCCATAACACGCTGATCGAAGTCCTCACCACCAAGATGAGTATCACCAGCAGTAGCAACCACCTCGAACACGCCATTATCAATAGTCAGCAGTGACACATCGAAAGTACCACCACCAAGATCATACACAAGAATGTTCTCCTCGTTCTTCTTATCAAGACCGTAAGCGATAGCTGCAGCCGTGGGCTCGTTGATGATACGGAGGACGTTCAAACCAGCGATGGTACCAGCATCCTTAGTAGCCTGCCTTTGAGCATCATTGAAGTAAGCTGGTACGGTGATAACAGCGTTCTTAACCTCGCTGCCCAAGTAGTTTTCGGCAGTCTCCTTCATCTTACCCAATACCATAGCAGAGATCTCCTCAGGGTTGAAGTACTTCTCCTCACCCTTAGTCTCGACCTCAATAATAGGCTTATCATTCTTGTTGACAATCTTGTACGGTAGCAACTTCTTATCCTTCTGAACGGTCTTGTCGTTGAAACGACGACCGATGAGCCTCTTCACATCGAACACGGTGTTGTGAGGGTTCACGGCAGCTTCGTTCTTAGCAGCTTCGCCCACAAAGCGATCGTCGTCCGAGAAGGAGACGTAGGAAGGGGTAATGCGGTTACCTTGGTCGTTGGGGATAATCTCGACACGGCCGTTTTTGTAGACTCCCACACAGGAGTAGGTAGTACCCAAATCAATACCAATAACGGGGCCGTCAATGTTTTCATTGCTGTCCTTAGCCCCTAGGACAGAGGTTGCCACCAAGGCAAGTGTAGGTAAAAGGAACTTCATTGCAAAGTATAGAATAGCTAACGTGGTGTGGTCAGCGGCTTTGGCAACTGCGCGCGCCCTTCTAATCGATCTACTATTCAAGCCTCCATGATGTGTTTGTTCGTAAGCGTTCGTTCATTGTGGGAACAGTGCCGAGGCCTAGTTAATCCGAAGGTATCTTTCCATCATCACTTCACTTTTGGAAAAATAGAATTTCGGGGAGGGTCTACACGTTGGAAACTCTTTGTCATTATTCTCAAATAAATATTCTCTACTCTGCCGCCCTTTCAGTGATACCACTCGCACATCAACTTTCGAGCGCAGAAGGATCATGGCACTGTGTGAGCCAATCTGAAGGTCGTGTCCATGCAGCTCATGCCACTTCTCTGGTCTTGTTCCTCTCACCTGTCCGCCTCGTGTTTGTTAGTATCACGGTTGGAGTCGCTATGCGAGTTTCCACTGTTTTAGTTGTTTCATATAGTGTGTCTTGAGACACGCACAACTGCCGCTTGGATCCACGTTCAACTCGGAATGACGTCTTCGGGTAGGCGTCGGTCACGGTTCACAGCAGCAGCGGCGCCACATATTGTGAATTGGGAAAATGTTGGTATTGGCTTTCAGAGGACCGTATAATGATGTATTACATTAATTTGATCGCCGAGACTGAGAAGCGAGAGAAGGAACAACAACAGCAACGCTCTAAGGATGGTCATAGGGCTGTCAAGCCTCCTCAAGACCGTCGTAGGCCTCGCCCTGATACTGCTCCTGGGGCCGATGACCGGTAGGTGGACTTGGATGTGGTTTTGCTCATCATTTACCGTGCAGGTTGGGCAGCTCGAGAAAGGGTCGGAATAAGCACGGTAAGGAGAAGAAAAAGAAGAAGACTTCGTTCTCATCGGACAAGAAGTCTGAGAAAGCTAAGCGGAAGCGTCCCCGGCAGCCCGAGGCGTCTTCAGCTCCATCGAGTTCATCGGGGCTTAGCTGTGGTGGTAATGGTCTCATTGATGACGAAGAGTTGCTCATTGAGAGAAGGTAGTGCAAGTCTGGATGCGAACCATCTATGTGGCGAGGCAGGTCAACTCGGAATAAGTTCGCAATCGACGATTCACTCAGTTTAGAGGAAGAACTCCATCCGAAGATCCTCACCGTTTCCTCTGGAAAGCTCCGAGATGACCATCTGACATCGTAATATCGGCTTTCACTTTATATCACTCCTCGAGCGTATTAAGAATGTGATCATGTTAATGATAATTCGTCAGGAAGCGGACCAAGCCGGAGAAATCCAAGTCGGGTAGACCTCGGGGACGATCTCGGAAGGTACCCTCCCCTTGTTTGTTTTTATCTTCATCATGCTGCAGTCTCCCACTGAGAGTAGCACGGACGGTGACCCTGGTGAACGGAGACGTCGACGTTTCCGAGATGAATTCACTTCGAGTACCGATGCTGATGACGATGTGAGCAGCTCAATGCCGTTTTCGATACCCATGTTGATGTTGTTGATTTTTCTGCTTTCAGATCGACTCCAATCTGAACGGGGCTTTGCCGGACTGGGCCCTCGAGGGCGCAGTGCGTCGAAGTTCGCGGATACCAGAAGCCCGAGAGGGTTCTGTAGTATCTGACAAGAGCGCAGGGGTCGAGACCTCGACAAGGAGGAAGCGTGGTCGGCCTAAGAAAAACTCTGCCAAGACTCCTTCTAAGAAGGCTCAAGGTCGAAGGGGCGCAAATTCGGGCGGTAGTAAACCGAGGAGTAGTTCCAAGACAAGTACTGATAGACGGCGAGCGTCAGAAGTTCACAATCGTAGTAGTTGGCCTTCGAGAAGTGGCGAACTCGAAATTAAGGTTAGCACGGTGGCCCCTCTGAATAGCGATATAGGCTTCCTAAGGATGGAGATGGATCCCAAGTCGGGGTGGTCTCGATCGGGCATCTGGCGTCGGAGGATCGGTCTCGAAAGAGCCCCTATGTTTCTGCCGTTGCCTTTGCAGTCTCATTGTAGAGATAGTTTCATTTGAAAGTACACATTCTCACCTTTGCTACTCACTGGAGTGGCAAACCGCCCTGCTCATTCTCCCTTTTTTTCTTTGTAGAAATTTCACGGCTGTTGTTGTTGAGTACCTAGTACATTAGTAATGCATCTTGGTACTATACGTCATCACTAATGTCATCATCTTCCTTGGACTATTACCATAATTCTTCATCATCTCCGTCATCATTATTGCAGTTGACCTCGGCCGTCTCGCGTTATAGTGGGTGGAGTCTCATCGTAGACTGTATAAATGTCTAACACAGCGACTGGGGTGGTAGAGCTGGGCTCTAGCTCTGAGGACAGTGATGATTCGATAGAGAAGCTTCCAGCGCGGAAACGACTCAGGAAAGGACCGCAAGAGAGTGTAATGTTAAGGGGCGATTCTGCGTTAGACCGATGGCCGTTGGACCACGAGGGGTCCTGGTTGACGTATCTGCCGAAATTTGTGGAGAATCCTGCTGATGCATTAAAAGAATTGATAAACGAAGTTCTGTGGGAGCAAGGGAAAGTTAAGATATTCGGGAAAGAGCATTTGGAACGGAGGCTGACTGCCTTCTATGCTGATGATGGACAACAGTATAGGTAGTAGGTTGATACGAGTTCGTTGAGTAGAACTATGGTAAGATACTCTGGAGGGCCCCTGAGGGTACCTTCACCGTGGAGGCGGGGTCCGATCGTTATAGACCGCTTAAGGAAGGCAGTGGGTGAGGCATGTGGACAAGAGTTCAACTGTTGTGTACTTAACTACTACCGGGACGGGTCTGATAGTATTGGATTGCACTCGGACGATGAGAAAGTCCTTGGAGTGAACCCATCAATTGCGTGCGTGTCCCTTGGGGCCGAGCGAGACTTTGTCCTGGACGCCAAGAGGGATAAGAAGAAGGTACTGTTATTAGGGTGACTAATGCGGCAACCAGATGAGTCCATGTAGGTGGAGCTAACGCCGCGCAGTGGGTCGCTGTTGGTGATGGGAGGCAGCACACAAAAGCTGTGGAAGCACAGTGTGCCGTCTCGAAAGAGGGAACACCGTCCGAGGGTCAGTCTCACATTCCGCTATGCATTCTGGAAGAGCAATTAGTCTGTTGACATCATTCATCTGTTTGGTTTCTGCTTGTTATAAGGTTGAGTTTTCACCCAGTCAAAAACGCGTGGAAAACTAGTGGGAGACAGAGTCTTTCCTCTGTGCGGTTCAAAGCGCCTCTCGCCACACGACGAGACGTAAAAAGCTCCCACCCGTCTCGTCACTTGGTTGTCTCAACCTTCACCCAAGAAGACACGAGAATCCGTCACAATCCTCGTACTTCATGTCATCAATCACCAGAGTTCTCACTCCGGTGATTATATTCATACAGTGGCTGGTCTATGCCGAAGTCTACCTCCCAATTGAGGGTGGCTCTGTTGTGATGGAATTCGACGGTCAAAAACAGCGTTTGACAGTGGACACTGGCAGTCAGGTTTTGTTCGTTGTGTACAAGGAGTGGTATGAGGAAACTTACATCGGGAAAAGCTGTGCGGCGCTGCCATCAGGATGCTATTCCTGTCCGAATGACTGTGGCCTACATCGAGCCGCTCGAAAATTCAGCGTTGGTTTCAGTGATAAGACTGAGGTTATCTTCGTCATGCATGAGGGAACGATAAAGGTGGGCGATCGAGTGCTTCACAAGGCAACTTTCGGGCTCATCATCGGTTTTAACGCAGCATCGCCTGATGAGGAACCCCATGGCCTTGTCGGGTTGGGCCAGTCTTATCACCCAGGTGCAGTTCAGTCATTTGTCTTTCAACTCTACGAAGCTAGAATAATCAATGAGAAGTCATTCAGTGTGTGTACTCCTGGGAAGGGGACACATCTCGATGGAATCCTGACTCTCGGCGGGAGAGGTTCTTGTGAAGTTGGCGCGATGAAGTCGATTAAACTGATGCAGCCTGTATTGCCAATAGCTCCCTATCAAGTACGTCTTGGCAGGATAAGCGTAGCGACTGAGAATTCCATGTTCATCGAAGTTCACAACTCACCCGCAATACTCGATACTGGAGACGCTCTTATTCGGCTCCCGGCGAAACATTTTACAAAGTTCATTCGAATGCTGGAGAGGACAGGGGACTCCCCGGGAAGTTACGAGGGATTAGTCCACAATACTCGCCTGAAGGACATGCCGATCATCCAATTCGATCTTGGTGACGAGGGTGCTGAGGCCTGTTTGGTGCTGCCCCCTGCGGACTACACCGAAGCGTACTCGAGCTTGTGGCGCATGCTGTCCATTGAGCCTACCGACTCTGACACTGTGTCTCTCGGCATGCCCTTCTTCAGGATGTACTATACTTATTTCAACCTACATAACTCTACGGTGGAAGTGGGCCAGTACCGGTCGCAGCGGCAGAGATCGACCTCTGCGAGAACCCCAAAATACGTACAGAATACTTTTGAAAAGCTAAATTCATCACTGCTACCATAGTTGTGAATCTGTCTTACCAGGCCGTTGGGTTCATAGTGAGTAATATTGCCTTGTGGACTCGCATATAGGATGAGACCTCTCAAGAGAGGAAGAGGATGCGGTTGAACTACGTAGCTAGATTTCTCCACTACGTACTCAGTAAGCAGTCGAACAAATCTCTCTCTCCAGCAGAGTTTAGAATAGCGCAATGATCCGATCAGATCCCACAGACCAGTCCTCGCACTCGAGAAGAACTATTCATGAACTAAGGTGAATTCACTGACTAGAGTGTCGCCGGTGAAAGATCCTTCGGGAGAACATACAACACTAGTAGCTTTAGTATCAGTATAGTGGATTTCGTTTGCCTATAGTGGGCCTGTTTCACGAGGATACTTAATTCAAGGCGCCTCAAATTTAGAAGCAACTTAAGGAGTTACTTAAGGTATACTTAAGAAGTACTCAACTCATTTCACAACGTTTAGAAGCAGCTTAAGGAGCTCCTTAACTTGAGGCGCCTTAACGTGCCTACTTAAGTAGTGAAATAGAATGTCCCAATTACTTGAGGTATACTTGAGGCGTTACTTAAGTTTAAGGCGAAATTTGCTCCTATGAAACAGGCCCAGTCTTCAGGACATCCCCCAACAAAGGAAAGGAAGCCATCAAAGTCTAACCAGATCGTTCTTGCTTGCTTGAAGTTCCTCCCCGAGTTCCTCCTACTACTGGAACACTACACTATTCTTAATCACTGAAACCACAATAATCATGAGTCTTTGTAGAAGGTCTCAGAGACACCTCTAGCCTGACCACGCGGCCTCGGGATTGCCGATCGATTGGCGAGGAACTCGTCGTACTCCTTCTGTCTATGCTGGTCGTTGAATCTATATTTGATCATCAGAAAGAGTAGCACTGCCGTTGCCAATGTTACCCCGCCGACAATCATGCTCTGTCGCCTGAAGAGGATCCAACTGCATACTGATTCACACTCTAGGCGATCGCCTTTCACATTCGCTACTACAGTCGGCACCCGCAGTCACAATGAGCAACAGGTCGGCAAAAAAATCGTTCAAATCTGCTGCCCGCAGTGTTGTTGTTCGCTTTCCTCAACTAAGCTCTGGAGTTTCCTCGCTAATCACAGAAGTTCATATCGGCTGGAAATGTACAGAAACCAAAAGGAATTTCTCCTCTCATATTGTCACCGATACATGTGCATATTGACCTACACTGCCAAACTGAATCCAGCTCATTCCACCAGTCAGTTGAAGACGACGAGCTACGAGGAAGTATGCAACCTGTAGCCCTTCTTACTGGTAAGTTATACGTTGAGGATGCATGGCTCGGTAATACGATGGAGTGCCCGGCTTCCCTCTAGTATGAACACTCCCACCTCCTCCCCTATAACATGCCGGATTCTTGATGTAGGCATCATACGCTGCCTCTTTGGTGTGAGCCCAACTCTCACTGACTTTAGCACCCGTCTCCGTCCTCTTGAAAGCCTTCAACTTCTCTGTGACCGATAGAGGTAATTTAAGAGAGCTTCGGAAGTGCTTTGCGACCGACCCTAGGTTGGTACCGTTGGGAAGTTTGATTTTAATCGGCATGATACATAGGCATGAAAACTGCGAATGGAAGTCAGTTCCCAAATACACTGCCACAATGCCTACGCTCTTGCCGACAGCAACTCTCGCCCTTGTGAGAAGCACGTTAAATCGATCAGCAAACAATTCGATGAGCATCGCTATGAGCGGGCCAACGAATATACTATTAATGCGAGCGACGTCATTGGGTATTCATTAACCTCTTGCTCCTCCTGTCCTCGACTACTTGAGAGGCCCATCTACCATGATCCACGTAATGTATTATATTCTTCCCTAGGAGCGGATATAGTCAACCCAATAAGGGCTAGGATAAGAGACACATTTGCCTAGTCATGCTTACCGTTGGTGTGAGCTCATAAGTTGATGACTGTGAGGCAGACCGGGCTGAATCAAATGGTGTCGCGTCCAGGTGTACAGAGGAAACATATGTTAGGATATTGTTGCCTGTCTGACTGCTTCGAGATCATCTGTGCAGATATCGGTCGATCTAGGAAGGAATACTAGTAGTGCTGGTGTCCTTTCCTCCACAGTTCGTCGAGTGTGCTAAATTAGCACTGCTAATCCAGCGCAACTCAGACCGAAGACCAGATGGTTGAGATTTAGCAGAATGATCGCTCCAGTACGTGGAATTGAGAAACGCTCCAAGCTGAGGTAAGCTTACAATCTGAGAGGCATATAAAGCTAACAAGCTATAGCAACGCAAGAAACAAGGAAACGGCTACACGCAATGATCTTGCACTGCTTGGGATTTCTCAATGGGTTGTCGTACTTCTCAGGACGAGCGAGACTCCTTGTCTCTGCTGTGAGGGGCATCTTTACTCTTCTCCATCCTAGTCCATGCTCATTCAGCGCTATGCGTATATAACTCTGCAACGACTAGAAATGTTATGTGTGTATCGCCATCTACTCAGGATACCTGCATCGTTTGCAAAGGTCTTCATTTCACTTCGCGAGGAACTGTAGGCGCTACCTCAGAATGATTTGTTCGCTAACTAGCGAAGGCGTTGAATTTCCCGTCTGTTCCGATACTTTTCACCAAAGCCGGAAGTGAGAATAGTTTCTATTCCCAACCATGGTATCCGCGCAGTTGAGTCGAGTTGGAGGCGTCCATTAAATGGACTTCTCCAACTCCATTCGACAGTGAGATGTTCCATTCAAGACAAGCGTCTCATATTCGTTCCTGCCGAGTGCCTGCTACAGAGGAAGGTTTCAGTTCTCTCTATGAAGGATACATGGTTTGCCTCGTGCAGTCTCGCCTTTCTGGTCCTCCACGGGGCATCGGCTCCACTACACTTAGACATCGACAACAACCTTGTGCCGATTACTCTCGATGGTCACACCGTCAAGTTATTCCTCGATTCAGCCACGCCTCATTGGCTTGTTGTGTCCGGCGAGGCCTATGAGAAAGCACACGGCAAGGGAGCGTGTCGTGATTTGGAAACAGGATGCTATTTCTGTCCTCCTACACAGCCTTGTAATGATATCTCTGAACAGCCAGGGAAAACCATCACTTACCTCGATGGGGATACGATGGAGTACGTCAACCGTATTGGAACACTATCCATTGGCGAGGTGAGTGATATCGAAGTTAAATTTTTCCTCATTATCAGTTTTCGGAGCCCGTTACGGAAAATGCCGCCCAAGGGCATCTTGGGCTTAGCTCTCGGTGGAGAACAGCTTTCCATGCTAGAGCAGTTAAAATTGCATAGAGTTATCAGCGAAAACTCTGTGGCGATTGAAGCGAGGGAGACAGGCAGAGGCATAACCGGAAACCTATTTCTTGGCAATAGCCCAAAGAGCCTAACAGAACTCACTTCAGTGAAGTGCACATCACACCCAACGTATTTCCACCGGTGTCTCGCTTCTCTGCGGTCCGAGGTTAAGCCAGTCAATCACCGGAATCGTCGTCGTAGGAGAGGCGCCTTCCGTGACCCCTCGGGCGTTTCCCGTCAGCTCGCGCACGTCATTGTGGATACCGGAGCTTCGCTTTTGGCTCTCACAAATAGGGAGTACGAACTGATATTGAGTGAAATGAGATGTAGGATTAAGAGATATGGCCCCTATCTATCCGAGCCCTTACGAGTGGATGAGCTGGGTATGGTATGGGCCGACTCACGAGCTTTACGCCACCTTCCTGTGCTGAGTTTTGACTTGATCGACGACTCTGATGCACGGCCTGTCCCTGTTAGGATCTCGCCGAGGCATTACATTCGTCAACACCTTTGGGGGGAATCTATGCTTGACCTACTCGTGACCTCGAACACCTTACTCAACCTTGGACACCCGTTCTTCCGCGCCTACTATACGTTCTTGAACTTGGACAGCATGATGCTCTATATCACTCCGAACGATGCTAGGCGGGTCACTTCGCCGCCGCGCTTATCGACTCAGAACGGTGTTGAATTACTCCACTCCTCGGGGCCTGCTCCGGATGACGCACTACCGCAGTCGCACGGCTTACGACGAACTTTGTTGGACGAAGGCTCGAGGCCAATTTCGAAGCGGCGGAGACTCGATCCCTAAGGCTTAGGGCCTTCTCCGCGACTATGTTTGATCGATGTGCATCCGGCGTCGGCAGCATCGGCACGATACAACATAGTTTTTTTCATGTGCTATCGATGCTCGCGCTCTTAATCTCTTCTAAGGATGGATCTGAAGGCGAGTCGCCTTCGGTGTCCGCGCATGTGTGCTCTTTGTTGAGGTGTCTGTCGATGTTCGCTCAGCTCTAGAGAGTTGTGCTGTTAGTTTGACCGATAGGCTGAGGGTGCTCCCCAGTGACATGGTCTCAATTGAACGATGAGCACAGGCGATACTGAACCGCTGAACGCAACCCATTCGGCTCGCCACTGGCGAGTCGCCAGGGAACTCCTTAGGAATTTTGGCCTTTCCCGACTGCTCAAGACGTACATTGAAACTAACTGCTCCATCCTAGTGAGATTTAGTGTGGGGCCAATACCGTGGGAATAAGCTGACCTATCTTGCGCCTTCCAAGATTCAGTGACTAAATTTCAGTCTTGCATACCATTAGCCTGGTATCTAATCTAATCACACGAGAACGCAATGGCTCTTGGAACATATTACTTCTCATTTTGGCGGATATAAAATTATGGCAGGCTAAGTTGCGCTTCCGACCTCGGGGGCCAGAGATTCGATGGAGGCGTTGTATTTTCTCTATAGTTCACAACGGTCGGCCGAAAGTTGAGTTGGAAGGACATCCTCGACGACTTGATCACCAAGTCTTGATGAGGTCCTGGACACTTCCCGTCCAAGATGAAAAGAGCAAATTGTTATATTCAACTGATCATCCAGGCGGCTTAGATGATCAGTTTGTTTCCTGGTCACCAGAACAGGAACAGAATGTCCGTGATGTTCCACTCTTTCGCTCCGTTGCGGACCGAGAAATTCACTGCGAACTTGGTGTCGTGGGAAACTCAAGCGCGTGACACTCTCACTTGAGCTAGCGAGCCTCTAACAGCCCGTTAGTAACGGACCATTCTCCGACGAGAGATTCCCTCGATTCAGCGGATATCACTCCTCTGCCTTCACTCCGAAACTCCTGACAGTAATCCGGTCGTGTTGTTAGTAGACATTTCCCTCAGTTCCTTTGATTTTATCGACTTATGGTAGAAGAGTGGGAACGTCGTTCGAAACAGTTCATGATAAGGATGAATATGGGTGGAACAGTTTTGGGGATCGCGGAGAACTCTATGAGGAGTCCCGATTTCGCTGGATGCGGGGACTATTGGTTGACTCATTGTATTCCACTCTACCTTCTGTGCAATGCAGATGCACCCGCATTGGGTGCACTGCAGGAATGCACGCAGTGGAAAGCACGAACTGCGCGAAGTGCGATGCTCTCACTGCACTTCACGAGTGTAAAGCGCGGTTGAGCGCTAAGCACTTGACCCATTGCGTGTGATTACGTGCACTGTGTGATATGTGGAGTACATTGTGTGAACTACACTACACGTCCACATGCACGTCCATTATGATGAATCATCATTGATGATCCACCGTAGTCATTTCGCGCGCTAATGCACATTCGTAAGCATACCATAATGGTATACTCACAAAAGAGTATATCCTAAAAGCCGTTTTTAGGTTTTTAGTAAAACGAAAAACGTTTTTTAACGGAAAACGTTTTTTGCGACACGAACATCAATATTCACATTATCATGATGGACATCGTTATCTTCTGTATATCTATCTTCTCGCCATTCTTAGTCTTTTCTTCTTCTTTTTTCTTCTCTCTCTTCTTCTTCACCAAAGTCGATTTGCCGTGCCAGCCCTTGTAGTCGCGAGCTTCTTGGGGTCACTCGCTCCGGTTCTCTCTCCGGTCTCCCCGGAATACGTCCTGCAGGCGTTCCGGTGGCTGCCCCGTCTCCCTCGAACCACGTCAGGGGGTTGCGGGGGCGGGCCGGGCTGGGCTTCCGGCGGAGGAGGGCTCACTTGGCGGAGGAACCTCTGGCGTCGGTAAATCTTCTTCAGGCCATTGCGGGGAAAGGGACGGAGGAGTGGGGGGCTCTATCCTGGCACTCACTCCTCGTGGCAGATCATCCACGAACTCGTAAAAACCCTCTAATACTACTCTGGAACCCGCGGAGGCCGACCAGATAGATGATGTCGGGGTGGAGTTAGTGGCCGGAGGAGGTGAGGACTGGTGTGCCTGGGAGGACGAGCAGGCCGACCGAATAGATGATGTCGGAGTGGAGTTAGTCGCCGTGGGAGGTGAAGACCGCTGTGACTGGGAGGACGAGGAGACCGGGCAGGGGGGTGATGTCGAGGTGGAGTTAGCAGGTAGTTCCCCAAAACCCTACCCGGACTCCTTAACCTGTGACGCCTACCGTCTCGTTCTACCTCGTATTCGGGTAGGTAAGGACGAGCACGGGGGCCACGACGCGGTTCAAGGTCACGGACGGCAGGATGGGGGCCCCGATCTTGAAGGCGAGGTCGATGGGCGGCTTCACGGTCGGAATGGACTGAGTGGTCCGATCCCGACTGTCCAGAAGCTGTACGTCTGAAAAAGAGGCACAATCAAAGACCTTCCAACCCGAACGTGTGTTTGCCTTACTCGCTTCCAGCCTCTCCTTCCATGATCCTTCCATTCCCTGCAAGGATCTGCGACGCCTTGGGGAGGTTGGCCTCGATGGTTGAGTCCAATCTCCCGGGCGCTTGGAGGTTCACGTAGGTTCCATGAACTCTCCCCAGCCGAACATGTCGGCTGTGCGCCCGCGTCGCTTCCAACCGGGACTCCTCGAGAGCAGCCAAGTTGTACGACCCGAATACTGTTGTTGAAACAGTAGGGGCCGTACGTCTTGACTGAGCTCTCCTCCCTTCTTCCGCTCTTGAAGAGCGGCTCTTCCCTCCAGGGCTCTAGCAGCCATGTTGGACACTAGAGCGTCTTGCAAACGAACTACCTGAAAAGGAAACAATTTTGGAGTGTTCCTTCGGATTCGTGTTTCTTACCGCTCTAGGTCGGATCGTACCGAATCTTTGCACTTCCACCTGCTCCCACAGGCCGAGATACTTCAACCATTTGACGGCTGAAGTCGCGGCACTGTAAAGAGCGTCGTAATCGCCTCGTGCCAATCCACCTTCTGGAATGTTAAGTAACCTTCTCAGAAAGGTGTTGGCATGGTGGTCATGCAAGAATACCTGAGGAAAAGGGTTTTGGATCTAGGGTTCGGGATAGGCTTCGGACTTACCAGCCTATCTTCGGGCGTAGCTCGACTGCGAGCAGTCAGGTGCGCCGGTCTGACGCTCCACAAACGGAGAAGATCGTGGAGCACAATTCGAGAGAGTCTGTTAAACTCCCTCTTCTTGTGTCCAGCAAACCTCCGAATGTTTAAGTCGATATACGACTTAGGAGCATCGGAATCGGCGTACCATAACTCATGAGTCACGAGCTTCGCACGAAGGTCGTCCCAGTTTTGACCTCGTCGAAAATACTCCAGGGCCCTAAGAAAGTAAGTATCCCGAACCCGAACCCGAACCCTTAAACCCTTACCTTCTTGCTACATATCCCTGCCTGCCGGAGTGCAATCCGAAAAACTTTACCCCGTAGCCAGCACGCTCGCTCAAGCACCGAATTTGCGCACCCAACAAATCCGGTTCGAGCGCGTGGCCGTCATAATCGGGAAAAAGTAAAACGGATCCGGCTCCATAGTTCGTGTCGCAAAAAAAAAGTTCACGAAAAAAAGTTTTTTAACTAACGAAAAACGTTAGTGAACGTTTTTAGTAAAACGTTTTTAAAAAACGTACATATCGTCATCAAGAATCGACCCAACAACCCTCTACGTATCAACTCTAAACCGGAACCTACTCAAAACGAGTAACTCAGTAGGAACATCGGTATATTCACGCCGTGTCACATGCCGTTCCGAATTACATATGTTCTGTATTTGAATAGCAGATGTAGAGTCCGTTGACCATATCAGAGACATTCTAGGGTGGTGTGTGCCTGCCGAAGTTCGGCAAATTTTCACTTCCTACGCCATCAGCACTGTGGCGTTGGTGTTGCTCTGTAGTTCTTTGGTGGTTTCTGACTTTGTTTGATCACGGGTATCTGGTAGCGTTGAGCAGTGAGATTCACGGAACTTCCGTGCAGTTTCTCCGGGGGACCCCTGAAACGGGGGAGTGCAATGTGCAGCGTGAATTGCAACTCCAATGAGTTCTCGTAGAGCACTCACGCGTACTTGATGGACCTCGCTTCTTTTGGTTTCAACCCATAGATATATTGTCTCGGATAAGATTTTCAAAGACGCTCGGAACTTACGTGATGCTGAGAAGAACGCCTCGTCCCTCAGCATTTTCACTGAATATAGTGAGGAGTTCATTTTTTTCCTCAGATCCTTTGAAGATGCGCGGGTAAATTACAAAATCCAAGCAAGAATGATGAAATCCAAGGAGGCTTGTCGTTCGCTCTCAGCAGTTCGGGTTTCTGGTTGCCTTGTCGGGTTTCGGGTGGGGTTTCAATTTTACCCTTTGACTTGTCTCCCTTGGATTTTGTATATCACCCGAAGATGCGCGCACTCATAGCGCTCGCCAGAATTTTTTCCAAATTTTCACAAATTTTTTCCATTCAATTCAAGCTGGTTTTTTCAGTGAGAAAAACTACGACTTCATTCCAAGCAATAACTAATACTAACTCCGCTGTTATCAAACGTCACGAGTCCCGTATGGTTCAATAACGACGGACTTGCTTTTCGTATTATATACTTGTTATCGCTACGCATATTATCAGGAGCTTCTCTGGGAGTAGTTCTCTGTTATTGGTCCCGTGAGATTGGATCGATTTTCAGCGTGTTGAGTACAAGGTGATGAGGGAGTGTTGAGTTGTTAAGGCGGCGGTCTTTCGTCAGCCTTCTCTGTAGACCTAACTTAGTGGTATGCTCTATCAGTCAACTGTAGCCTATGGGGATTATAATATCAGAATTGCAGCTTTATAGTCTTTCTCCATAACTCCCGCAAGGTTCGCCTTAGGCAGCTTGTGTGAACAAGATGGACTGGCTCATCTCACCGATATCAACACTTAGGGCTGTACAGGTCATTGAGAGCCTTCTACCTTTCTCGGGATGCGGGGCGTGCATTATGTTGTGCACACATTCATTATCGTACTAACGGGGAGGATGAGTTTTATCAATGGCTCACATCCTAGAGCGCAATTGGGTTCTTATTATTAGTGCTCACCTGATGCTATGTCCCCAGATACATTTTCTGTCCACAATACTCCGTGTGGAGAATGATGCGTAACATGGCAGAAACATGCATATGTGCTGCTCTCGGAGCGTCGGGCATCGTCGCTGAGGTTTGGTAAGCTCACCAATGCAGTGCGATGATGTTATCTCACGAGTGTCAGCCCTCGTGATTCTCCGGCACACAAACGGCTTCGAGCTGTAGCACCTTTCATGACATCTCTGTTGGGCCGAGCTCTCGTCTACATAGTAAGAAATTGTTATATTTTTTTATCGCACGACAGTGATGTGGCAGGTTTTTGGTATGATATGCAGCGGTAATTACACTTATGTGTCGAGTACTTCTCACAAGATTGATCCGACCAGCCGTGCCCTGGCCGGAATCGGCGACGATATTTCCATAAGAGTGAATTCAGCGTACTGTCCACTAGGTCATGAAAAATGCGAGCGTAGTCGATTTCAGTTTTTGGGCCTTCTTTTGCGTCATTTCTGGCATGTATATGATGACGACAGGCATTATTACTTTGGTGTATTATTTTAAAGTGGGCCTCACTAGCCTTCAATACTCCTGACATTTCTTTGTACAGGTCAATGGATCTGTTCTTCAGAGCGAACGTCACCAAGAGCTCACAGCGACCTTCTTACGACGGACAGGCTGGGGAGTAGGGAAGGGCTTTCACCGAAGACACACTCGGCTTTTATTCAGTTTGGTGCGGATCGCGATGCTAGTGACGGTCGGTCGGTTTCATTCTCACCGTTCACACCGACCACAGAAGTTACGGCGGAGGGTTATCAACAGCAGTAGTGGCTTTCGACGCCGCTTGTGCAAATTCTGGCGAATCTCGCAGCTTATCGGTCGTAGTTGTCCACCTGTTGTGCTGCCGTACAGAGTTGTTGGGTTATCAGAAGACATAATTCAAAATGCTAGAGAGAACCGAACTCGCGATTGATAGTTACTATCACACAGTAGTATAATAGTAGTAGTACTATAACACAGATAGTTACTGTGTTACTGTAACACGCTCGCTAAGAATTATTGAACAGAAACGACGAGATATTTCTCTCTGCGATGCTTCTGCAACTCTATCGATAATAAAATGAATGTTCGTCGCGTAAAACTATATTGAACTCAGCGCTAGTGGGAAGGCGTCGCGCTGGTCGGATTCATCATTCCGTATCTGCAGTGACATGGTTGCTGACAATGGTCGCTGCGCGTTGACAGCTCCTTTGACCTTTGGCGAGTATAATGTCCAGGGGAGAAGGATATCTTCACTAAAATGAACGACTGCAGCACCCTTATAGATGGCAATGAGACAATTCCCTCCCCAAATTAGGATAGCCCTTAAAACACCAACGCCTCGTATCAACTCAAGCAGATCATCGTACTCCTTGATCGCCATCCTCGAAACCATGTTCTTAAGCGAAAGAGGACCGACGCAGGGATCTTCGGAGCGCTCGGAATGGAATGTTCATAGACCTGCATGAACTGACCGACAGGCCACTCTCCTGGAAGGAGACCAGCTAGCGAGAGTATTTCCGTATATACGTATCGGCTCCGGACTCCGTTTTCTAAGTTTAGAGAGCGCCATAGAACTCTTGTGCCAGACCGTAGGACAAGAATACAGAGCATCGGTGGGGAGGCGTGATCGAAGTTACTACTGCCTTGCTGATTGAAAGAGGCCACACTTCAGAAAGTCGAATGCGATACACTGTACTCGCACTGACGTCATGGATTCCGTCGCAGATAACTGTCGATGTGTGTGTCATCCCTCACCTTTCCGCTGTTCGGAGAGATCGATGTTCGATTCAGATGGTGACATAGTGCGAGTAATCTCCACAGTGCAAGTAAACGACACAGTGCATGAAAAGGACATGGTAATTCACGAATCAACGACACAGTACGAGTGAACGACCTAGTGTGAGTGAATGGCACAGCTTTGTCGAGCAACTCCAAGTGGGATTCCCTCGTGCGAGGCTCGCCGTTGAAGGTTATTCAACACCCATGTCTGATCGTAAACTCCACATCTCGCTGTTGTGATTACCGCGTAGCATTTGTGACCCTCATAGCACTGGTTTCTTGAATCGCTCGCAAGTTTGACTCATAACAACCAAACGAGTGAGTGTAGGAAAAGTCTTCTACCAGAGATCGTGTGCGAAAACGGAGAATAATGACATCGCAAAAAAGGCCAACCCGCTATGATTGATGATTCTGAGAGTGAAAATTATATAATTTTACAAGGAAGCAAAATACGAAGTTTTCTTTGAACAACATATCTGAAAAAGACTCATAATCCAAGCTGCGTTGGCAGGACATGAGAATGCTTCCGTCGTGCGGACCCTGTCTCGGCAATCGAGGTTCCGCTGGTCAGATCGATCCTGGCCTTTCTGCTCGCTAACGACTTGACGAATTCCCTCATCTTAGGGACATCCAATGCATGCCTTAAGCCCAGCATCTCAGCTCTGTCCTTGCCCGCCTCTTCCACATCAGTTCGCAAAGGGCCATAAACCTCACGACCATCGACTCTGACACTGGCTCGGAAACCCTTGTTCATACGTCTTACCCCCACTGGTGCCGTATAATCCGACTTCTGATTCCTGCGAGACCCAAACCTGCTAGCACCGCTACCTTCTGCGGCACACTTCATCTCTTCAACTACATCCAGGAGCTGAGCATTAGACAGGCCTCCTTCGCGTTGCACTCTACGAATCCGCTCTCGATCGAGGAGACACTCTTCCAATGTCGACCGATAGGGACCAGTAGCCTGTTTCCGCCCTGCTCGCAGACTTGTGACGTAACCGTTGACTCGTCGTATCACCTTGATAGATGATTTATATGGGATGGCAGTACTCTGTGATGCAGAGTTCAGAGAAAGGCTCGGCTGGTGAGGATAACGATACGTTCCTTGACTGCTGAGGTGACCAACGAACGGCGTTGTCACGTCAGTCATATCAGGGAGTGACGTAAATGGTCCTCCTCCCGGAGCAACTCCTGGCCTTGAAGCATAACCCATCGGGATGGATCCACCCAAACCAGTATCGAATGGAAGGACTACCATCTTACCACCATCAGCAATACCAGAGAGAAGTCGATAGTCATACCCCCCGTGTAGATCCATATTGATTGCAGGAAATGATGAGGTTGGCGAGCCAGCCACATCAAGAGCCCCTCCCCCAGCCCCGAGGGGCTCCCCTGTGAACGGGAAAGGCTCCGCCATTACTTCACGACTGCTACGAACACCAGTCATATCCTTACCGTCTTGAGCGTACTGTCCACCAATGTAATCCATCATGCCGACGGACACACCTGCTACGTGGTCCGTGCTCATGGCGTGCTGATTATGTCCCCTAACAGGGGAGAAGGACACCGTATCATGATCCATCGCTTGACCGATTGGCAGCGTAACACGGGCTTCTCCAAGTAAGAAGTCGTCAAAGTTGTCCAAGTCGTTTCTAACCATCCTTTCAATGGTCGGAAACCCAGTGTGTGTGCGATCCGTGCTGTCGAAAAACATGCGTGTGATGAGCGTACGCGTGTCACCGCGACACAATCTCATGAACCGCAAGATTGCAAGATTTCAAAACGTCCACACGCGTTTTTGCGCGTGCGCTTAAATCAAGAACTTACGATCAACTAAACAAAGCAGGGAATATCAGCCTGCAATTAGCAGTATCGACGCAGCTTCTGTTTGACGACTTCCATAATGGAAGTTCGATTGTTGAAGACAAGGGAAGATGATCACCAGCAGTTGATCACTCCCAACTCACGTGTTCAAGTGAAATTTCACTGCGGCTCTGAGGAGACGTGAATAGCTGTCCCAACCAGCAGCAACACCGACTGAAAACACACTAGCCCCGTCCACGTTGTAAGCCTCAATGAAGTATCATATATCGCAACTGGAACTATACGCTCTCTGAGAGTGAAGCAAGGTGAAAGGAAAAAAATGAGGAATGAAATCGCTCCAGCGAGTCCAGAACGAACCGACCACGTCAGGTGACCCGACCCGGGTCACCGTATTAGCGGGGAAATGAACAGGGCGTAGCCCTTTCCTTCAGCGCAGGGTGCTACATTCGGTACTCTCACACACAGCTGTAGTCGACGAGTTCGTTACAGGCTTCGCTACAGACGTACACCTCCATGATCAAGATAAGATAGCCATCGTTAAATGTTAGATTGCTCATGCAGGCCTCACGTATAGAATGAGTGACACTAACGTATTGATAACTGTCCCGTTGATGGTTTTTTGGCCATTCACGCCAGTACGGCTGCTGTGGCACAGTGCCACTGGCACTGCAGCCAGTGAACTAACGGAGCATACACTTTAGACCGCTGTATTGAAGATAAACGAAAACTGAGCAAAAACCGAGAGACCTCACAACTCTTCTTTATCATGGGTTTGCGACTTGCTGCATGCACTTGTCTGTGACTTGAAAGATGCACGGGAATCGTTGCCAGTGATATCGTAGAACTCGCAGTCCGACACCGCAATGCTGGTGGGATCCTCCTCGTTGTCGCATGTTGAAGCGAAGCCGTACCTGAATAAAAGAGGATACGACGATTGCCGAAGGAAATGTCCTCCACCATGTTAGCGGTTTGTTGAACCATATATGACTAGAAAGGGTCCGGCTGCTTCCAGACTCGACATGATGGAACCACCACGGAGGCATGTATCTTATATACAGATTGGGTACATCCTCATGATACTGCACTCGTGACTTACAGGCAGTCACCAGCCTCCAGTGCTGCCTCCCACCACACAACTTCTCGCCATGCAGGGTATTTCTCCAGATCCACGTCACTGATGTTGACTCTAGCCGCGAACGCCCCATATACCTCGCATTAGCAATAGTCACAAGAGGCTGCTTCCTTAGTCGTCGACACCTCCGGGAACTCTCTCTTGTGGTCTGGAAAATCATCTACGTCGATCCAGCCAAATGCGTCCGAGTTAATGCCACTCTGCGTAGGTCATGCGGTGCAGTGAATACCTTTGTCACGAATATGGTACATCAGCGGGCCAGATTATGAATCTCTTAGAGCCATCAATGACGCAATGCTGATTATGCTGGCTATCATGATGAATAACACTGCGGGTCCTCCCTCCAGCAATCCACAGTATAGGCTCGAACAGGTGGTACGTCCAACCCCCACAAGAAAGAAACTGCTGAGAGTCTCCCCTAGTCAATTCAGCATAGATCCCTACTGGAAAGAGCTTGTAGTAACGTTGAATGCCTTCCGGCATCTGTGACACTGAATATAGCTCTTCAGTCCTGTACAAATTAAGGAACCTGTCACAGTCCGTTGGAGCCATCCTGGTAGGTCTATGCTACTTCGGTAAGGGGAAATCCCTTAGTGCTGGGATAGTTCGGGTCTCGGTTAACTCCACTTCGACTGCCGAGCTGAAACGAAACCTCGTGGTGGGGACGAGCGGGGCAACAGTGAACACACAGGTTGTATTGAGGACCAAGAGCCTGCAATAGGCCTTCGTCGCTCCATATAGGATCAGAGGTATTCACTAGCCCAGCTGAACGTATCTAGCTGATGGTGGTTCGATGGCCACTACAACATCATCCTGACTCACTACGAAAGGAACATCCGAGAGATCGTCGAAGAACTTTCGCGGACTAGGCCAGCGCTTGAGAACTGGAACAGGGCCCTGTTTCCTTCCCGTTTCCCATATGGTCACCGTATAGCACGGTTGGAGTAACAGGAAGCGGAAAATGCACTTTGTCAGAGTGATGATACAAAGCCGAGGAGCCATGGGCATTTACGAGCACGTTGTGATAACGACCGAGGGCTTAAATGAAATTCAATCGAGCAATGCAGATCCGGACACACACACTCACGGGATTACGGATGCCAACCCGGTGCTACAATTTTGAAGAGATCGAATTCTCCAGGCGGGGCAACTATGCCATCCCAAGATCTGCCTCAATAGATACGATTTCTCCAGGCGGGGCAACTATGCCATTCCAAGATGTGCCTCAATAGAGACGAATTCTCCAGGCGGGGCAACTATGCCATCCCAAGATGTGCCTCAATAGAGACGAATTCTCCAGGCGGGGCAACTATGCCATCCCAAGATGTGCCTCAATAGAGACGAATTCTCCAGGCGGGGCAACTATGCCATCCCAAGATGTGCCTCAATAGAGACGAATTATCCAGGCGGGGCAACTATGCCATCCCAAGATGTGCCTCAATAGAGAGGAATTCTCCGGGCGGGGCAACTATGCCATCCCAAGATGTGCCTCAATAGAGACGAATTATCCAGGCAGAGGAACTATGACACCGCAAGGTATAATTCCTCAATAGAATCGGCTCCGCGGGCATGCCCCGAGTAGCCCCAATGAGAACGAATGCTGGTCATCAAACTGAATGTTGCCATCGTCCTCTCTCTATCTCTCGCTCTTGGACGCTGTCCGGCCAGATGACTCTACGAGGTCAAGACGGACTTATCGGAGCCGATAAGAGCGAAGAAGTATACGAAGGCTGGCCGAGCCAATTATACGCGGAAGCAACCAGAACCAAGTCCAATTGTAGAAATAGCATCGATGTTTCCTGTGTCATGAGGGAAAATCGTGGCAAATGTATGGCATACCTCGTCGAAAGATACCTCGATGATGATTGATAACATATATCATCTCCTATCATCAATATCAGACGTGACCTTCCACATCCTAACCAGCTACGAAATTGCGAGGGAAGTTAGAACGAAAGGAGACTACATCGGATGCAGATCAACCTGTACGGATATTGTCTTGCCGAAAGCCCACGACGTCTGCTAGGGGAAGGATGATTGTGAAATGGGATAGCCTTTTAATATGTCAAAAGACCACTTGGTAGCTGTTTACGGGCTTTCCTATGCGCACTGAGTATACATATGGGATGCTGAACCAAACGTGAGCTCCCAGGTCACCATTGAATTGACATACTCGAGCCACTGCATGACACACAATACTACCTACGTCGAAGTGAGGAATGAAGAAAAGTACGCCCACCACGATTATGCGCTGAAGAAGGAACTTTACCGAGAAAAAATCAAGCTGCATCCGCGGTCGTGACGGCGCCTCTACTGCGAAGCTCCGCCGCAATGCCCTCCCCACCTGGCCCGATCGGCACCACGTCCAACGCCCGGAAAGTCATGGACTCGATATCCTAGAAGCGCACCAGGAACTTCGACGAAAATCCAGGAGAGAATATCCATAATCCGAACACAAAGTGAAAACTCTTACCTCACCCCATTCCTCTTCCCCACGCATGTATTCGTGCCTGATAGCATCGAACATCGTCACCGAGACTGGCAGAGTTCACCTGGCCTCACTCACCGACATATCACATTCACATCCGTGATGGGATATGCAAGTAAGATCCTAGCTGCCTCGAATTTGCCTGTTCGCACGGCGTGATAAAGTGCGGTTTCGTGGAAGTCGAGGGTATCTCTTTCATAGATTTGCGAACCTTTCAGGCATTAAATGTCACATCGCCGGTAGGAGTGAGGCACTACTAGTGCAAATTAGATTGGGGTCGGCGCCAGCATCGAGAAGAAGACGCATCAGCTCTATCCTATTGAGCTTAGTGGCTATGAAGAGCGCTGTATGACGATACGAAAAACGATCAAAAAACCGGTCGATGTCGGTGCCAGGGCGCGTCAGTACTTCCGAAACCTGCATGAGATATCGCATCGTGTTCATTGTCCTCGAAGTTGAGCAGTGTGAGAGAATGTTCATTGGGAAATTCCGAGGAAATATCGAGTCGATGTTGATGCTACTTGTACAGTTCTACTTCGAAAGAATTTCCGTAGAATTTCCGAACTCAGCTGAGGATACCAAACATATATTCCAACACTGAAGTTGGGGAACAGATTATCGACTCGGTCTTATCAGAGAGTAATACCGCAAGAGTGTAAAATTTGTGATCTCGGTCGTCACACTATATCTGAACATACCAGTTTCGCAGCACCACTTTCGACAGCTAATCGGAGGGCCTCATCGCCCAGATCGGCTGTTGTAGAGCTACTCGTATCGAGCAATACGGGCAGAGGTCTACGAACGGCAAATCATAGTACCACAAATGATGAATCGATCGAGCCTCACAAGCTCTTCGTTCCATCCCGAACCGGAGGAATCAACGGTCGGACTGGTTCGAGTTGATGCAGGGAGGGTCCGTCGTCCGTGGCCGTCGGCACGCCGGACTCGGGCTCACGCAAGAGTCGCGAAATGACCCAGGAGACAGCCCAGATCCCACACGTAGCCATTTATGCCGAGTAAACAACCAGCACCAGCATCGGATACACCGAAAATCAGTCGCTGTGATTTGAGAGCTACAACGCAAGAGATCTTCCAATACAAACAAGAGGGATGGTGATGGTACATGAGCGCTCTCCGTCGAGCCTCAAAGACTACTACTGCTTCGTTGGAAGCGCACAGGAATGGTCACATAGGCATCAAAAACGGTCCGGCACATTGGACATTTCTGGTCCCTGAGATGCCGGGCACAACGGTAACACAAGCAACAATGACCACACGGCAGAAGGGCTACTGAACGAACGTTGTCATAGCAAATCATGCACGTCTTGTCGTCCTCAGGGCGGAGCCCGAACAAGGTAAGGCACTTGAGTGCTCCATCATCCGTCACGACCAATTCGCCCAGAACTGTCTGGTTCGCACAAAGGGCGAGCACCCAGCCGGCGTGAGTGGGTTCAGAGAGCAACAGCATGAGGGGGAAGACCTCCCCAGCCAACGGCGGTATAACAATATCCATCGAGCTACCAGAGTCGATGGTAGCAGTGCAGAGAGCTAGTAGTCTATTCAATAAGTCCGGTCTCGAATTGGAGAAGCTGAGTCCATCGTGCTGCTGCAAGCCGCCAATACTGGCACTAAGTTCAAGGCGACAATCGTCCTCACTATGGGCTCTCGAGGCCGGCGCCAGAGGCTCCACCATGGGGGGCATCACGCCAGCTTCCGGCACGATACGAGACCAGCGCATCTGCCTAGCCTCATCTGTCGGCAAAGGGGTAGGTTTCAAGGCCTCCTTCATTATGCTCAACCACCAATGCCGTTTCGCAGCCCGCCGTTCCGCGGCTCCCATGGGGCCGCTGCTACCCGCATGAGATGCAGGGCTGAGGAGTGCATCGAGGGTGCTGGCACTGACACCGGTGGCAATGTGGACCTTGCAGGGGGACGAAGTCTTCACTGTGAGCTTTCCTCCAATGTAAACGACTGAGGTTAACGTGGTGGAGAGGCTGAGGGATGGTATTGGCACAGGCGGTTTCCTCAGCTCTCTAGAAGCTTGCAGAATTTGAGCAACATGCTTCCGAGTGATGGCATCGAAATCATCGGCGTAGACCGACATACGAGGAACCGTCAGAACGTGTGTCTCCTTAGCATGATGATGGTGATGCCCGCTTTCCGCTGTTGTGTTCGAGTCCTCACTAGATGCATCCGAGAAGTTCCAATCCTCACTGCTACCGGATACTGAAAAAGTACAGAAAACACCATCACGACAACACGGCGATATAAAAAGCCCCACTTACTCCCAGGCTGCAAGTGCCTCAGAATGCTCACCGTCTTCACGAGGCGAAGGCCGATAAGGACCGTCCACGTTATCATGAGGACGCCCACGATGAGCACAATTGCGTTGTGCGCCCCCGGGCTCGTCGGCAGACTGCTGGAGGAATAGGCCACCTCGGGGAGCTCCATCAGTGGAGTGAAGCCACCGCTCGGCTTGACGGTCATTGGACCTCTGTGATTCTACCTATGCCAAAGTGGTCTCAAGGCCCGCCGAACACAGGCTCCACACATGGTCGTATGAAACGGCTTTGAACTACCACAACTAGCAATGCTGGACACTCGAATAAGATGGGTGATAAAAATCTTCATTTCAGAAGGTCAGCGAATGTCCCATCATCAACAGATGCGTTCGCGGAGGGCTAAAGACGCATCATGGAAAGTACCGTTAGGTAGCGGTTGAATACTTCAGCAGACTGAAATTGCCGCTGCCGCTACGGCGTCCTTGGACTCGGGACTGCTCTTACATGGCAGAGGCGGCGGTGAAACAACCTTCTTCTCTGGTAGTGATGGAGGGCTCCTTGCTCGCTCATCGAGCCGTCTCTCAGTAGTCAAATGAGATACAGTCGAGGACTCTCTTGCGCTAGACGCAGGTTCGATCCCTGGGCCCTCCATCTTAGACGGCGGAGGTTGAGGTGACCACATTCCCACTCAAAAGAGTCTCTACGAACCAGACACTACAGTGGGGGCTATTCCTGCCTTCACTCGTCTTGGGCGTAGTTATGCTCATCACAGGAGCACCGTCAAGGCGATCTGCTGCGTACTTTCTCGAGCTTGACCTGAGATCGCCTCATACCACCCCGCACCTCCCAAGACTACTAACTGTGCAACCAACTCAGACCTCGCTTCGGCTGCAGCCACTTCGTATTGTCATGAAAAAATTCTGAAATTCTCGATATTCCCTCCGACTCTACCGCCCCTTGCATTGTTCAACGAGAATCCCTCAGCGACGAGCTGGTAGAAACGTTCAGTGATTGGGAAGTAAACTAGTCAGTACGTTGACGTTTTACGGGCGGCTTTTCATCGTCCCCTCGCACCTCAGCGAGCCTCTTCTTCATCTCCTCCCGTATACTAGGGGCATCCTTGCGCTCTGAACATGCACGCCGGAAATTTCAATGTAAGCCTTTTCCAACCAGTGTTGAAATATATGTGCGGTTTCCTCACTGATCACAGAAGCCTACCCACGAATTCGGGTAGAAATGTACAGAAACCAAAATTTCCTCAGAACTTCGATCCCGTTCTTACCATCACACAGAGCCTTGATCCACTGCGTTAACAGACGCTTATACTCTTTATCTTTACATTCACCATCCGCAAGCACTGTGAAGCGAGCCACCAAGCCCATCACCACGCTCCCTATCCAAGGTTCAAGCATACAAGATACGGAATAGGCCCACAAAGATACTACGTTCCGAAGCCGTATTGACCATAGCCGTCTCCAGCCTCTCCATGCACGCCTGCAGCTTCTCGTCCCCTTCTATGCGAGCCTCCACTTCATCAGGCGTCATCTCCATGAACTTGGCCACTTTATCCACTACCGCCTTCCTGTCAGCCGCCAATGGGTGGTGCCTCAGACGGAACATGTAGCGCGAAAAATCGCCATCGAAACACGCCTCGATTTCTTCCGGATGGGACAATGCTTCTTGACGAAATCTCTCGCGTTTGCTAGAGCTGGCCGCTGAAACAAATCTCATATTGGCAATCTCAAATCCTCACTTACTTAGCACGTTTTCGGGAACCCATTCGGCGACTAGCTTTTGCGCGAGGCGCTTTTTCAAAACGCCAAAGTCGCCTTCAGCGTCATCCTCCTCCGATTCAGAAGAGCTCTCCTCGAGGCCCAGCCCACCAGCACGAAGTCGAATTTGAAGGACTTTATCCTTTCGTCGCCACTCAAATACCTAAACGTGGGTATTCGTGTATTCTGATACCAACTTTCTTTCAAATCGTCTCGCATACAATGACCGATACTCGTTCCGAAAGAGAGTCATCTATTTTCTTTGGATCTATTCATTTCCCGACTCCCTTTGTAACGGGAGAACGCAAAACCCGAGAGCGTCGCCAACTTTGGTACAGGAAAGAGACAAACTCTCTTTAGCCTCAAGGACGACAACACATCGATGCTTTTAGTGGAGGTTGTCGTAGCTGACCGACGGCGTCGTGACATTTCCGAGGGAAGTTGAGGCAGGAGTGGTATAATAATAATAATTGTATAATTCTTCATTTGGATAGGGAAAGCTCATGGAGCCTCCAGGAGCGCCACAGTAGAACTGCTCCTCACCTTGCTGTACAAAGTTATAACCACTACACGAGTTCGGCGATTGCTGGTATGAATAATAATAGTAATAATAATAAGGCCCTGGGTAATTATAAGTACAATCACGGAATTCACCTCCATACCCTTCATTTGCTACATCTCTATTGCACAATAGGAAGTCCCGATCGATGCCAGGCTCAACGCGACTAGCTGCAGCCCAACCGTCTATGCTCTGCTGACTTCTGTCCGTCTTCAAAGTGTCTACCACTGTCGCCCTCTTCTTAACCATAGCATCGTATCTAAGTACCACATTCAAGACCCAATCAAGTGGCCACCACTTTACTTGTCCTTATTATCAACAACCTTCACGTTTTCCTTGAGACTCTCCATCCTCACGCCTGAATTCAATAGGCCGCCCAGCTCAGCCACAAGCAGAAGTGGAAAGAAAGCGTCATCAGCCGCGTAATGAATCTGACCATGAAAGCTGATGCCGTAGTGAAGGTTATTTCTACGCCCACTTGGATGTCACTGAGAGGCTCCGTAGCGGACCAATCGCTCATCGAGATCTTCTTGTCCTTGCGCAGGAAGTAGCCAAAATGATGCGCAATGCGCTTCAAACCACCACGAGGAACACTGCGGTTTTTCTTACTAATTTCGTACAAGTCGATGACGTTATTGCACTCCAAATCAAACGTGAATTGCAGTTTCGCGTGATCAGAAACATCAAAGCCAATAGTGACTTTGGCCTTCTTCGGGTCGTTCAGGAGGTCGCGCACCCACTGCGGCAATACATGATGAGTGTTAGTCCGAATCAGCAACGCGAGGTCCTCGGTGGCGAGCTGGACCAGCGAGATGGGGTGATTGGTAGCAGGAGTCTTATCAGGCTTCCATTCAAAGTCGATGCCAACAGCACCAGCCTTCTGGAAGCGCTCCTTGAGGGCCTCGTCATCATCCCACTTGCCGGTAGGTAGCGCCTCTTTAACGACAATTTCACCACCGAAGGAGTGGAGGGTAGCCGAGACGAAGGGACCACCGCATCGGAATGATGATGATGTAGATGGCGTATGGTAAGTAGTAGTAGTAGACATTACAGGGAAGGCATGCCTACGGCCAAGAGATTCGAACATGTCCTCGCAAGCCGTCACCCTTATATGATGCTCATGACTCCAATAAGGGGGAAAGATGTGTTCACTACATTCTCTCTATACTAATTCGGATTCAGTATATACCCTTTCTGTGCCAAATCGGCGATTCCAAATACGCATCACTTCGAGCGAATAATCAACATGATACCGAAGGAAATGCGTTGAGAATTTGCAAGATTGCAAGATTTACTCTTACCTGCTACGAGAATAGTCGCATCTATAACTCAGTTGTCCGGCACTTATTATTTCACTGTATGATCTCTAACGACGGAGTCCTCTAGACTATCCACCACTGCTCTACCCTCGTGGGGGAAGGTTACAGTATCCATTCTGCTGAGGAATTTCATCGGGACAGCACGCGCGTGCAGAGGCTCGCTCGCACATCCAACAAGTCTATCATCAGAGGTATTTCCTACTCTTTCCATGATGATGGAAAATATTTTGCCTCGAGTCCAGACGGCAGAGGGTAAATACGTGCATCGAACCCGCGTTCACCTGCATTGCTCAAGAAGTTGTTCGAGCCCAGATTACTTCCACACAACACCCAAATGTCTTCCATGTGATCATTACGACAATCATTAAGCGAAAGTACACGACCATGAACTCAATATCAAAACGCATCTCGCCGACTACCAACTGGTGCCGTTGAGGTGATGATGATACAGGTCGCCTTTTACTGCTGCATTATGGCCACGACTGTGGTCTTCGTCAGTTTCCAACAGGAACTCTAGTGACTCGGGATTCCACCCGCACCCCGCAATCGACTCAGGCAGAAGCATATTAGCGTCGCTCCCCGCGAACAGATCGGCCTCCCCAGCTGAGCTACCCGCAGCATCCATCAATGACTGCGGGGACGAACAGGAGGCCGTCCCAGTCGCTGTAGACGGCACTGTGGCGCGGCGGCTAGGCAGAGCAAATGAGTCACTAGGATCAGCGATCTCGCTCAGCAACCTCTCCTCGAAAGCGGTCAAGGCCAACTCCATCATAGAACAGGATTGCAACTAAAACAACAAGCTCGATATTCACCAAGACTCTCCAGGAGCTTCAATTCCGACGAGTAGATGTGCACACGAGCAGCTCTTGGCTCTATCTAATGACCAACCTACCACCGATTTGATCTGGTCCACTCCTAGAGTGTCGAGATTCTGGAGGATCCTCGCACAAGTCGACAAGAGGAAGCCGCCGTTGGAAGTCTTTGACTTCATCCCCAGTCGCGCCATCAGGTTGAACAGTCCCACCTGCATCAGCACTACATCTCAGCGGACCACACACTAGCAAGGCGCACTATTTTCTCCAATGAGACTTCCTCCAACTTAGCCACTGTTGAGAGCTTCAGAGCGGCCGCTTGCATGAGTGCATCCACTCGATATGAAGCCGCTCCGTATTCAATCAAACTGATGTCCGAGGTCGGGCGAACGATGGTCGGCCCGACGTCGTCCTCCGAAGCAGTAGGCGGCGCTCTAATTCCTTCCTGGCAAGATGACTACTGACCATCGCCATACAGTAAATGGCACCACTTGCTGGAAGCCTTGCAGTACGGTGGTTATCTCTTCAATGCGAATAGCTCCTACATGATCGAGCACGAACCTAACAACAGTGTCCTGAACTCACGACGACCACGATCAAAAAGCACTGACTTGCTGGTCGTCATCAACATCGGCAAGTTGGAATACCCCATAGTGTGCATAGGCCGCAATACCTTCGCGATCAGGAACTTACTGTACTTGTGAGGCGTTCGTACCACATCGGCAGCTACTGCCTAAAGAAGGACGGTCGTTGATGCTCGTGAGGAAATCAGTGCTGCAAAAAAATGTTCGCTCTCCTCAGCTGAGCTCAATAGTTTACTCACTAATCATAGAAGTTTATATACGGATTGGGAGAATATATACGATAAAGTGTACTGAGACTAACAATGATTTTTTAAAATTTCCTCAGAGTTTTCATATTGTCACCAACACATGTGGGTGACCATGCGCACACTCTAGCACACTGGATGAAATTAGGTACATAAATGTCTTTGCTAGATTTTAAATTCTTGTGCTACTCTTGTTTCACTAGCCTAGCATGTGCTTTATAACTACTGTACTGGTCATACAGTGTGATACAAACCATAATAGTAATATTTTCAACACCTTCAATTTTCGAGAGTTCGAAAGACAACTTTGAGTAACATCAACATGATAACAATGTGGATCGATTGACAACGTTGCAGAAGCGTTCCATAGTCTATAATCATATTCCCTAATTGGAGGAAGCCATCTCGAAAATCTAGATATGCATAACTGTTTGGTTCACCCTGTATGTTCAGAATCATTTGTTGACGAAGTTGTCTAATCCCATCAGTGCTGACTTACATCCATTAGTTTCTTGTCGGGATAATTCAGCCTTGCGAGTGAGCACATGATATTGCCGATACCATGGCCATCGTAATGAGGCGTCAAGATCGCAACACAGTCGCAGATTTCTTTTAACAGTTCCTCGTGGAAACTGCAATGAATCCTCTGGTTGAGGAAATGCTCAGTCCTCACCAGTTGAGACGTCCGTAAGCATATAGGAGATTCGACACTTCCTGCGGTTTGAAATTGTGTATAGTTCCCAACACCCTCTTGGCAACCATTTCCATCAATGCTTTATCGTAATGATTAACTCGGGAGAGGCCGTAAAGCATGTTGGAGAAGTTCTGTGGACGGAAGTGCCTAGCACGCACGAAGCTACATGATACTAGATTGCCCCGGTGGATTCATATCCTCATAAAACAAGGCTTGGCTACAACTAGCAAACCTCATAGACTCTGTTGAACAGAGCAGTTACTAATACCATCCGAATAGTTCCAAACCCGAGTGCTTACTCTAGTCGAGTCTTAGCAGCACCTACGATGGCCTCCACCACCTCCTTCTCATCACTCAACTGCAGCTTACCAACCGCCCAGGATATGTTGGACAATGACTGGCAGCTCGAAATCCGCGCCAACTGTTGATGATCAATGCAATGACTACTGTAGGGTCGGCCCATACAGTACTCACCTCGACGGCTCTTCGGAGCACCTTTTTCATCCGATGGTCGCGAGTCAATGCCTTCTGACTTTGCTCGTGGTTCTGAGTTATGCTGGCCAGGCGGTGTATTAGAGTTGAAACGTTGACGGAGTTCAGTTGAGTTACGTGCGTGTCCACGATTTCGAGCAGGCCCTTGACGGATCTGATATCAGATTTTTGATCTCCCTCGAAAATCAATAGAGGTAGAGCCCCCCACCGTGCATTAGCAGCGACAAGGATGCTCTTCTGGATCTCGAATTCGTTCGGGGTAGGCTGGTTGTAATTATGTCGAGTCACAACGGTGCCCTGATCACATATCAGCAGCGGACGAATCTGATCTTTGCTCACATTGTAAGACACCAAGCCTGGAGCCCCTCCCTCCTGAGCCGTCACCTCTCCACTGTTCCTCGTCACCACATGCTGCTGTTGCTGAATAGGAATCCTACAGCATCATGTTAGTGTGTTCCTGATTACCTCTACAGTGTTCTTCCTAATGGACTTGTTCTCCACCTCAATTGGAGGCACTTGGGCATGCATCGCCTTTTCCTCTGATTCCTCGACTCTGGATGTTCCACCAATTGCAGCAGCTATCTCATTCACTCGTGCAGTGTTATCATTCGTTTCAGTGACAGTCTGAACGTTGAAGCAACGGTAAGAACCTCTAGCGGTCTTCCGCACTACATTTTCCGAAGCGGGTTGGTGCTCCCTAGCAGTCTCAACCGACTCCTTAACAGAATTCGAACCAGTGTTCGTTCGTGACTCCACCACCACATCAACTTCTGGTACCCTCAGCGATGGCGTCCGCGTTGTGGTCAATGACGGGACTAGGAGCCGACAGAGCCTGAAGATAGATGCGCCGACCAAGACATCCTCAGAGGACCTACAGTAGTGTTAGAGGGATGCTGATCAGATAGTAGACGAGATCAGTTGTATCAAATATCATTTGTGGACGACAGTCCTACTGTAAAATTTACTACAGAAAAATTATGTAGGCTAGCGCGCACCCATACTCAAGTTTCACTGCGGATGAGTGAACAACTCTGTGCTTCATAACAACGCTTGATCACGAAGGTAACTCCAGGGGGGGGGGAAGATGAAAAGCCGCAATACCAACACGGGTTAATTCAAGTACTGGATGGGCCCAATAAGGAATATTCGAACCTAGGAAGGTAGGCGGAAACGTGATAACTTCGCACAAGTGATAACAGTCCAACATCGTCAGCGTTACCATCTACCTACCAATGAGAACAACGTCCGAATCGAACCATGCCCCAGGCTCATTGAATCAATTGTGGATCAATTCAGAATCGATGCTAGCATCGTATTACACGTGTAGTGAGCAATTCCGGAAACGATTATGATGGGGTGAGGTTCAGTAGACCTCTCCAGAGTTCTAAGAGCGCTCCCAAGATCGAGTTTTACATGTGATATCTAATCCTGGGTGGGCTCTTGAAGGTCTATTGAACACGCCGCGAGTTTAGAAATCGGTTTACTGAACGACCCTATGGAGAACTCAGAGTACCAAGCTGTCAAGTTTCATCACTGCATAGATTTTGGCGCGCGCGAGGGTATCTTGCTTACTTACGATCCTTAAAGATTCCTAAGCTCCGTGAGCAACAGTAGTTCAGACTACCCTCTGCCCAACTTCAGAGGCTTACCGGAGATCAGGAATGACCTCAGCAAAGCTTTCCTTGTGTCTGAGTTTACTTCAACGACAGGGGTTCACGGCACTGTCTGAGCCACGATCGGCAACACGAACACCGACTCAATTCGGGAAGAAGGCGTTCCTCAATTCGGAACCTCCTGATGGTGAGAGAATGTCCATCCCTTAGTTTCTCTTTTTATCACCACAAAATGCTGTCGCGCTCGTCCACCTGCATGGGAGTCGCCAAGGAGGTCCTCCATGGCGCTGAGGCCCGCTCACGTATGCTAGTCGGGGTTAACCGTATCGCCGATGCTGTGGCCGTTACCATGGGCCCTAAGGGTCGCAACGTGGTCATCGAGCAGAGCTTCGGGTCCCCTAAGGTCACCAAGGATGGTGTCACTGTCGCCAAGGCCATCGACCTCCCCGACAAGATGCAGAACGTCGGAGCCGCTCTCATCAAACAGGTGGCTTCCAAGACCAACGACATTGCTGGTGATGGCACTACCACTAGTACAGTACTTGCTCGGGCCATCTACCGTGAGGGCTGCAAGGCGGTCGCTGCTGGCATGAACCCAATGGACTTGAAGAGGGGCATCGACGCTGCAGTGAAGGTGGTCATGGATGAGCTCAAGGCTCGTGCCCAGCCTATCTCAACCGCCCAGGAAATTCAACAGGTATTTTTTGTATTTGTACGTCTTCTCTCATCTGAGTCGTCGTCTTGTCTCAGGTCGCCACAATTGCTGCCAACGGCGACAAGACCATCGGCAGTCTCATCGCTGAGGCTTTCGAGAAAGTCGGCAAGGACGGCACCATTACCGTGTCGGACGGCAAGACCATGGAGCATCAGCTGGAGGTAGGGCGTCGATTGACTCATCAAAGCATAAGATTCCGCTCAGGTTGTGGAAGGCATGCAGTTCAACCGTGGTTACATTTCCCCCTACTTCGTCACCAACAACAAGACTCAGTCGGTCGAGTTTGAGAATCCTCTCATCTTGGTGCATGAGAAGAAGATCAGCTCCATTCAGGTGAGGAGTCCTCCCTTGTTGGGTTGTAATTTACTCTTTATTCCAGTCCATTCTCCCCGTGCTCGAGTACGTGGTAAAACTACAGCGACCCCTCCTTATTATTGCTGAAGACGTCGATGGAGAGGCTCTGGCTACTCTCGTTGTCAACAAGCTCCGTGGTGGCCTCAAGGTCTGCGCTGTAAGTGTCTTGACGATTGGCTCGGCACACAGGAGTTTGGTGTGGTGTAGGTCAAGGCCCCCGGGTTCGGCGATAACCGCAAGTCCCAGATGCAGGATATCGCTACTGTTTGCGGCTGCGAGGTGGTCAGTGAGGAGACTGGCACCAAGCTCAGCGACGACTTCGACCCGTAAGTTTGGTAGTTCACTCTCAGTGTCTTGAGAGTATTTCGGTGGTATTCAGTGCATTGCTGGGCTCATGCAAGTCTGTCTCCGTCAAGAAGGACGACACCATTATCCTTGACGGTGCGGGAGCTCGAGAGGAGATAGATGACAGATGCGAGACCCTCCGTGATGCTATTGACAACACCAGTAGTGAGTACGAGAAGGATAAGCTCAAGGAGCGTCTCGCCAAGATGAGTGGGGGTGTTGCCGTCATCAAGGTGAGCATTGCTGATTTCTGGGTGTGTTGTTGATTACGTTGTAGGTTGGCGGTTCCTCCGAAGTGGAGGTGTCCGAGGTCAAAGATCGTCTCAATGACGCCCTCAACGCCACCAAGGCCGCTGTGGAGGAGGGTATCGTGCCCGGCGGTGGGTCCGCTCTCTTGAGGTGACCATTTAGGGAATGCATTTGGTGGCTCTGACTTTGTTTCCTCTTCAGAGCTAGCAAGAAGTTGGATGACATGAAATTGGACAACTTCGACCAGGAGGTCGGCTGCAACATCATTCGTTCAGCGTGCAAGCAGCCTTGTAAGACTATTGTCGAGAACGCTGGTGAGGAGGGTGCCGTCGTGGTGCAGAAACTCCTCAGTGATGACCATTACCACAAGTAAGTCCACGGCTGAATATTCATCTGGCTGAGATGCATTGTATGGTAGGGGATACAACGCCCAGACCTCTGAGTACGTCGACATGCTCCAACAGGGTATCATTGACCCCACCAAGGTCGTACGGACGGCCTTGGCTGATGCCGCCAGTATTGCTAGTTTGATGACTACCACTGAGACTGTCATCTGCGATGTGAGGAGCTCCTGCTAGGCTATACATATTGTGCATGTGTGCTTTCAGGTCCCTGAGAAGGAGAAGTCCCCCGCGGCCCCTGATATGAGCGGTATGGGCGGTATGGGAGGTATGGGTGGTATGATGTAGAGTGCCGACCTGTAGCTCGGAGGACGCGATTGTCAGTAGGCAGTAGGGCACATAGAGTGGCTGAGATATACTTGAGTGTTTCCGATCTTTATCAACCTGAGCTCTGACAGAAAATACCCGACAATCGTTTCTAACACACAATGAAGTTGGGCGTAGTTGTTAATTTATCCAACGAGGTATCTCTACTCTGTCCAAGGCTGATCAGTTGAGCATTGTCTCCCTTTCTTTCGTCGCGGCCTCGAAGGTTGTGTCGGTTGTGTCCAGTGTTTGAGTCTCTTTATGATTGCCCCACGAAGCTTTGGCCTCTGGCAACTATCGCTCCCACGGGCTTACAGTAGGCACGTCAGCCGGTGCTTTTCTGTGGCTCCTGAGGTCGAGATCGTGGATAAACGGAAAATGGAGGTCGAAGGGCTCCGGTCAGCTGACGATGTAATGACTGGTGTCTGCCGTCACGCTAGTGCCGTGTGTCGCTCGGGGCTAGATTTGACTGCGCACGTGTAGTGTTGGAGTTCATGTTCCCTTTCTTCAGCTGAGCTCGGAATTTTCGTCGCTATTTATGAAATTTACATACGAATCTGGGTTTTACAGGAACCAATGAGAAGTTTCCTCAGTATCCTCGTTTTGTCTCCATCACATGTATTGACTATTTTCCCACAGTGCTCACGCGTTCGCCGTAGGTGTGGAGCTATTATACCCTCAACCGCTCACAGTGCCGTGGTTCGGACATTTGTCGTCTCCTGTACATCCTCGCAGGAGAAATGGAACGTTCCACGCGAGATGAAAAAATAACGGTGATACTGTTTCGGTGTTACCTATGCAAATCGCCGTTGCAGATCGTTAATCATAAGTGCTTCATGCGAATACTCAACGATCTTATACGCTACGTTGACACGTTGCCGCTGGACTCCCTCGTCGCTGTTCCGAGGACCCTGGTCCGGCTGAACTGGCGGGATATGGGCCTCTTTAAGGTAGCGATCTCGGACTCTGAGAGCTGCCAGCGTCTTTGCTCAGCACATCGAATCGCCGATCATGACGTTGCTCCCCAGCATGACTACGAACCAGATCGCTGAAGTGACTCGGGCCTATGCGGACGTGCAGGCCGGTGGGAAGGCGTTCTGGGAGAGTATCATAAACAATGTGGCGCACAGGGTACTCCTTGAGTGAGGAGGCTTGGACGTTGGGACGGAATCAATTCGGACGGTGCATCTCTGGGGTTCACTGTAGAAGAGGATAGATGCTCGTTGAGGCTTCATATGTTAGCTCTTCGTACCCTGTTTTCTAATTCTGTTTTTCATATCATCTCATGTTTGAAGGGAAGCAATCTGTGTGCCACGCTCGCGTCAATAAGCGTGTTCAGGCTGGAGAGTTCGCCCCTGGGGATTTCGCTAACGTTTGCGTGGCCATGACGCGGAAGTCATCACATAAACCCGTGCACTTTCTAAAGGGGGCGTACCCTTTCCTACTACACCAGATGCAGCGCAGGGCTCACAAAATCGCGGATGTAGTGAGAATCCTCAGGGTAGTATTTTTCTGCCATGAAAGGGAGCGGCTGTATTCGAAGCTCAAGTGTAGGTGTATGCCCGATGGCCGAGCGGCCTGATGAAGCAGACCACCATGATAGTGGCCATCACAGCACAGCTCTCCGTCGAAGCTCTCACGGGACTAGCCGATCAGGAATTGGCGCAAGTGTTGGCCTCCTTGGCTTCGTAAGGCAATTTGAATCTCCTAGTGCCGAGGACCGCCTTGATATAGGTTGTGCGGCTCTCGTGAGTATCCCTATAGGGAAGGAACTGCTGTGTTCCATCGAGCCGAGCCGGTCATAATCTCCAGGATATCCGCGATGGATCATGGGAGTCTCTCGAGGATAGTTTTTGCGTACAACGTACATGGCCTCGGCGATGGACGTAAGGAGAGGACTCATCTGGTGGATGCTTCCTAAGTCTTGGTAGATTCGTGCTCGGCGAGAACTGCTAGTCTCAGGTCTGTATCGCTTATTGCTGGACCGAGGTCTGGAGGTCGTATCTGCGATGTCGCCACGGCAGTTATCGAATTGCCTGAAGGTTTTCGGTGAGCAACTCTGCAGTCGCAAAGTTCAGAGGACAGAAGGCTGGAGCAGTGAACACCACGATGGCAAGGTTTGTATTGAAATGCCCTATGAAAAATGAAGATGATCGCTCTGTCAGATGAGTCCATCGACCTCGACTACTGAGCCGACCTGGTTCTATGACGCTGCAGAAGCTACTGTTGTCCGCAAAATTAGAGAATTCAAGAGTCTCGATGTTGTGGAAACCATCGTTGGGTAAAGGGTTCCCTCGTATGTTGTGGTGAAGGTTGCATGCTCTGAGCACGCTCAGATACGCTCATGCACGGACGGGATCAACGCAGCTGTGGGCCGTCCTAGTGGAGGCGACCAACCATCGTATAACCATCTTCAATGCGGAGCAAGCCTCTATGTTATGCTGGGCCTTTGCGGTGGTTCGGACTGGGGCTAAGCTGTTCCCCCAACTCCAAGTTACTGCACTGGAGCGTCTCAACCAGGTGAACATTTCGTATGCTCCTCACCATGTGGAGTTTGATGAAGTTCTCAGTTCTCCGCTTTCGGCCTGACTAATATGCTTTGGGCGTTCGCGGTGATGAAGAAGTTAGATCCCGATTTCTGTGAACCCATCCTTGCCGTGCTGACTCCTGAAGTCGTCTCCTCCGACAGTCGCTGTGCTCTGCTTTTTCCCACTCTACGCGAGCTGCAGGTGAGAATCCGTCCAGGACTGAGGGGCTGTAGATCTCGCGTTTCATCAGGCTGTACATTCCGACTTCGACCCGGCTGGAACGGAGAGGTATCTTGAGTATTGCCGCGCACATTTCTGGGACTTGCAGCTCTCTACTGCTCCTAGTGACGAACTCATGACCTCGATAAGCGACACTCTTGTCCAGATCGAACGCCCTGGTGTAGGAATGTACGACTTTGACGGATTCCTGGTTGATATGTGGGTTCCCGGCATCAAGGCAGCCATCTTAGTGAGCACCCGAGCCAACATGCAGGCTCGAAGTCAAACTCCAACGGGTGAAGCCATCCTGAGGCATCGGCACGTCATGCGAGGAACAAGAGGACGTGTCATTCACGTCTGGGATCAGGAATGGAACGAAATGGACGGCCAAGAGCGGGCTACCTTCCTCCGAGAGCGACTCGATCGATGGTATGAAGAAGACCAAAACGTCGAACGGGGACAAGAGACTCCAGAGGGGTCAACTGAAAGCGTGCCGGCCCCGAAGCGGATCGCTGTCGAGCCGATTCCGGGAGAAGTGGAGCTTTTGAAGAAGCTCCAAGAGCGTATGAAGGAGGAGGTCGAGATCGGGAATGCGCTGACGCCTGGTTTATGCGCTGGGAGTCCACAAGAGATGGCAAGAAATATTCGGCGTCAAAGGCGAGCAGCAAAGAGGTGGAAAGAAATCGATACCCCAGAAGACGAGCCAGCGAGACTCCCATGGGAAGCCAAGATGTGGGTGAAAGAGCGCAAGACAAGGCATGGCGAAGCGAGAGGGAGCAAATAGTTCAATACTTTCATGATTCATTCGCGTTTCCGTCGAATTAAGTTTCTGATATCTCTATGCGATGCGTAAATGGTAGTCACAGCTGCGTCGTAGCAATAACACATGCCATCGTTGCTGACGTCAAATTGGTAGAGTTCGCTCCAATAGAAATCATTCTGTAGTCGCAGTCGGTCGAGTAGCCGTAGTAGTAGATTTGATTCGTTAGATAAGTATAACTGCCTGTGTATTTGGCTCCACCCCCTCCGAGCCTCGTGACGATAAACTCCATCATGAAAAAGTAGCGCTTAATAGTAGTGGAAGTTCCATCTTGACATTCAAAGGGATTCGACAACCCAACTTAATACTCGAGAGAGAGGAAAATTCAACAGCGAGCTGGTAATGATAGGTTATCAATTTCTAAGAACACACCAAGTCTCTACCAGTACAGGCTGATCTGGGTGAATCACTCCTAACAAGGTCACCCTTACCGACGTGCGATTGGGGGTCACGTCATAGTGGCTATTTACACTGCGAATACAGTCTTCCATCGAAAGCATCAACCCCGTCTTCTCACTACGTTAACTCAAGAAGGCGATTATGATAAAATTATTAAAAACGACTACGAGAAGCCGCTGAGTAGACCAGCAGCTCCTTACGACAAATCTCGAGATTCCGCCATAGTAGGCATTATAGTTTGCTCATAGCCTTCTTATACTGTCTATCAGCCTGCCTGATGCCCAGATCCAGCAAGATCTCCTCCGAGCCGCCAGGAATAGCCAAAGCACGGACATCACGATAAAGCCGTTCCACCACTTCGCCGAGGCCACTCCTTGTATAAGCATTTCCGCCGAATATTTGGGCCGCCTCTCGAGCACAGTACTCGTACACCTGAAAACCATCAATGGCAACTGCAGACAACCCCATCTCTTACCTTAGTACTGTGGGCCTTCATCAGAGCAATGGTGCCTCCCAAAGCGTCCATACTTTCCACCCACGGCATAGTTGACATCTGGTGAGTTACGCTTTCAAGCCAATGACTGGTCCCCTCAATCTGTCTGGACATCTCTGCCACTTCCAGCGAATCACGGATGTTCCATAAGGGTCTTGCCAAAGGTCTTTCTCTTCTGTGCATACTTGAACGAGAGTTCATAGAGGATCCTCGAGAACCGCACAGCCTGTATGATGAGGCCCCAACGTTCATGGTTGAAGTTATACATGATAACCTTGAAGCCGTCATTCTCCTTACCTATAAGGTTCTCCACGGGGACTTTCACATCATCGAATTCAACGAAAGTAGTGCCGCTCGATAGCACACCCTGGCAGTCCAGTCTGGTGGTCTTGAGACCAGGCATGCCCCTTTCGACCAACAGCATAGATATTCCCTTCATGCCAGAGCCACCTGTGCGGACCGCGACAGAGAAATAGTCGGAGAAAATACCATTAGTTATCCACTTCTTCTGACCGTTGACGATGTAATGCTTTCCATCCGGAGTGAGCTTAGCAGTAGTCCTGATATTGGCCACATCACTGCCAGCGTGAGGTTCCGTGATGCACAGGCAAATATTCTTCTCTCCACGTACACAAGGAGGGGCGACCCTTGCCTTCATCTCAGACGTACCAAAGTTTAACACAGTTGGCAAACCAATGTTGAGGCCACCCATCATACCCCACATGACGCCACCAGATCCACACCTGCAGAGCTCGTCAATGAAGATGAGCTCGTGGAAGTAGTCGAAGCCTTGGGGCTTGGCAGCAACGGCGGGGTCGGCATAGTCGTAACCCTTGGGGCCGACCAAACTGGGCAGGAGGCCAGCCCTATAGCACTTTGCGTAGATCTCCATGGGAATGGCCTTCTCCTTCTCCCACTCACTGACGTTGGGCATGACCTCATCCTCTACGAATTTGCGGCACCTGGCCCGCCACTCAACGTGGGACTGAGTGTAGTAGGGGCTGCTGTGGCCCTTGGTGTACCAACTAGGCTCCGCGTACGGGACGGGAGATCCGAAGGTCTCCTTGGCAACAACGGGCATAGATCAACGCGGACTAACCTTAGCGCTACACGTACGTAGTCACTGAAGTAAAACACATCTCTATAAGCATAAACCCGTTCACGAAAGGTACACAGAAGTGATGCACCGAAACATCTAAACACTCTCCGACGTCACTCACACTCTTCACAGGCACAACATAGAAGGCCGCGGCAGGACAACCACGACGTAACCTATGATCATATCATTCACAGCGAATAACTCCGTCGTGATTAAATTATAATGGGAGACTTGTGGCACCCGAGGTTCCTCCTGAACCACTCATAGCGAGTTAAAAGCGCCAGTCAGGCAGTTCAACGTTTTACTATTGGGAACGGGATAATACACGTGTCTAACATCATAGATTATACGATCATGAAGCTCAACCACATATCATTTGAAAGTCGCCATCATCATAGACAAATCATGCAAAGTACAAAAACGTTGCGGAAGATTAAGGCCGTCCAAGTGTGCCAAGTTGTGTCGGTAGCGAAGTTGGATAGTAGCCGATAGAGATTCCTCCCAAATGCCATCCGATCCATGCGAATTGAGTCTGTACGAGGCCTTCCGCTGGCTACTCAGGGACAGAACAGGAGTGGACATTGTCGAGGGCGCGGTGAGTCTCCCTGAGGGGTGGAACTAGTGCGGGAAAAATTCCTCTACGATGAACTTTCATTCGAAAGAGATTGCATCAGAAGCCGACTGTGATGCCTAGACCTGGCACGCACAAACGTACCATCAAAAAATGACGTTTTCTAAGTTGATATGTTCGCATAGTGCGAGTCGCACTACCCTGTTTAACAGGGTAGTGCGACGCAGCCCTTGCGTAGCCTCATGAATCAACGACAGGACATGTCATTGACTGATGAGATTTCGCGGGGGCCGATCAACCACTAGCATCTTTGTATTCGATACAGACTTTTCTAGAAAGGGCCCTGGTCCCCCCCAGGTACACTCAAAGAAAGAACTCGAACGAGACATCGCGAAATCGATGCGACTCACCGAGGAACGCGAGTGCACTAGAGAATATGAAGCCATGGAGAGTAGTCTTCCTGTGCCTACTGTATGTGTACCGTACTGTAGGGATCGCCGTCATGGAGCCAGGCGCTATGGACTGGTCAAGCAAGTCATTGGACTTCGTACGAATAGTTGCCGCAGTGGGCAGCTGCTTGCACCCGAACGTCACAGCGGAGTCTCTCGTACTCCGAGAGTTCTTCACAGACCTCAACTTGAACGATAGAAACATCACCTATTTAGATGGTGATATAACTCGTCGACCGACATGCCGTGAAGGAGGCGTGTTGTCTCAGATCGCACGTCCAAATTCACCGCACTGCTGCACTTGTCTATCGATTCCAATCAAATAACATCTCTCCCTGTATTGCCACCAAACCTGAAGGTGTTGCATGCTTGTGGAAACCAAATCAACAACATAGAAGGACCCGAATCGCCGTCTCTACTCCATCTTGGACTGGCCTACAATGATCTAGAAAATGTCCATGTCATCGCTGAGAGGTTCCCGAACCTCCTGAGTCTCGATTTGAGGTAACAATTTCTCGGTCGGAGGAAGCTGTTTTTGCTCCAACGTTGCTCTGAGTCGTGGGAGAAAATTGTGGGGAAAAACTCCGCTTGTGCCATTCTGTTTGGGGCGTCATCCCATGACAAATTTTATTCCCTGGGAAAGCAGTTCTATGAAAAACATTTCTATTTTCTCGCTGGGACTTCATTTTTGTAAAGTTCAATTGCTTTCTGATCATCTGTGGGAAGTAAAGATCATACGTGACACTGAACAGAATTCGAGTTCACAGGCTTCCTCGAAGCACTGTTCACCTCAGCTACAACAGACTATGCGGCTTGCCAGAAATCATCGGAGTCCTTCACAATCTGGCAGACATTCGTCGTCTTCTGCTGAGCAACAACCCGTGCGCCCTTACCCCAGCCTACCGGCCTTGTATTATCAAGAGCCTTCGTGAGCTGCGAAATGAAGTTTTCTCGAGAAGAACTTGAAAACTTTTCAGCGAAGCTTCAAACTCTGGACGACAGTGCCGTCACGGCTACTGAACTCGAAGTCGCTGCTGCCTTACCGGTCCTTCACACAGCGAAGAACCTGGGAGGTACGTCGGTGTATATGATCACCGTGGACTGAGTCGACGCAGAGGCCCCTCCTTTCGTGATTAGTCGAGTCACTAGACTCAAGTGAAAGTCCTCTCTGACTGTCTAGAAGCATTTGAATTAGGAATCACGATGCAATTCCTACCCAAGTGCTTTGATGGAATTCCCTATACGGTAGCCGGTGATGGCGGTGGATACTTCATCACTATCCATAACATGCAAGGTTCGTACGTCTCCTCATGTCACTGTTGCTATTCTGTGCACTGTAGGAACTGAACTAAAAAGCCCCGAGTTCGTGCGCGGCCCACCGCCCCCCTCAAGTGGAGAAGACATCCCTGAGAGCGAACGAGAGGCTGGAAAACACCATGTCCTCCTGTGACATGAAATCTCGCAAGGCTCATTGCATGTTTCAGAAGGCGCCACCAACTTGGTTGATCTCCGAGGACGATTCAGAGGGGAACGAACGACCAAAAATCGAGATCGACATCACCACTGAGTCCTTCGACGAGTTAGCTCTGTGGAAGTGGTAGGTCGACCGAGATAGGCTATCCGTGCCCACAGACTTCTGTTGAGGCTCATGGTCGAAGGCCTGCATGTGCATCTGCATCGCGCTGTCGCAGAAGAGTCCTCTGTTGAGGGGGAAGCAGTGGCAGCAGCTCCGCTACTCGTGTGCCGAGCTGAGCTCTCTGAGTCGCGGCTGTTCGTTCCGCCTCGCGTAAGTTTCTTCATCACGATAGTGTGCTGAAGGTCTCTTCCTTCACACTGGTTGCTGCAGATGGAAGAATGCCTCCCTAATTTGGTGCGTGTCGGGGTTGAAGATACGATCGAAGCTCAAGAGGAAGACGGGTCGAATGACGTATTGGGTGAGAATGACTCAGAGAAAGTCGACGAAGTGAGCTTCTCTCACCGTGTTGTCCTCATTTTGTGTGATCATCAGATGCCCCTGCATGTTGCTGCTGGACACTGCGCTATCACCACTGGGGTTATTCGAGTCCCACTGTTCGTCTATTCTGATGCTACTACTGATAAACTCCTCGCCGCACCGTCTCTGAATCAGGTAGCGACTGGAACAATCCTTCCCCACCGCTTGATTCGACATCTAGATCGTTAATGATTGTATCAGGATTCCAAAGGCCAGCATATGTATTTGGAGTTCGAGATGAAGGCGTGGACGCCTCGAGGTGATGGAACTGCTGAAGACAGCGTGGCATGAATATGAACACGTTCGCAATGTCATTTCGAAAGTCTGTAGCAGTGTTGTGTTGACAAGTGCTGGGAACACGAGTCGGAGTAGAAAGAGGACGACCAACGTGATGGAGAACCGAGATAGAGCACGGACGACACTTCTGTACATTGATATTTGATATTGTTGCAGTAGAATGTATATCGATTATCGCGTGCCAAACTTCCTGGAAGTCGGCAATAGCAAGCTGCCACTCGTGAGGACCATGATTATCCAATGTTCTCAACGCCCTCACATTGGTAAGCCCGGCCACGTTATCTCTGTGAGCCTCTGATGGCCACACCGCTTCCATGGACGCAACGCACACCTCGAATGGAGCATTTCTAATCATGAGGGTTTGACAGTATGACCCTGGGTTGAACTCCGGAAGATCATCGATAGTTCTAACAGCGCATAGGATTTGCCCCGAATGTTTCGGTCAAGATCTATTTTCAAGAAAGGATTCTATGCCCAATTCTGGACGTTCGCCCCTTTTTGAATTTCCAACCCAGTTTGCTTCCTCATCGAATGCTCACCACACACAGCTAATGCATGATTCGATTCTTGTCTCTACGTCATTCTCAATCTCCCGTCCTCGACCAGCTAATATGTTACTATGATGTGGTCCGCCGCTGGAGCTCTTTGCCTCGTTATTACAGCTCAGTGGCTCAGCACGCGACTCGCGTGCTGAGCCACTGACTCGCGTGACGCGAGTCGTCGTTTCTCTATCCCCTCCGATAGACCTTGCACAAATCTCGTAATCGCAATGAAACTATAACTAAATCAGACACACGTTCGAGGTAAGCCTACCCTCCGAGTGAAGGGGCCCTCAGACTGTAAAAGCTCGAGCCCGAGGAGAACCTCTGCTCAGGAAGACTCCACAGCGGTGATGGTTCATAAGCCGCACCGTACTCCTCTCCACCAGCTAGCTCAGGACCCAGCGGGGCACTGGAAGGAACTGATCTCGTCACGTCAGCTGAGAGCGACCGCGATGCTTTGAGCATCCTAGTCACCGCCGGGAAGGCCATAGCCACGACTTGCAGCAACTTAGCGCTCTCCTGCCCGGCCTCGGCGACCCAAACGATCATGAGCCGCGTCGTGACACCACATGCTACTGTTGAGAGATCACTAGATAGATCGCTTTCACGAACAGGGGCGAAATCTAGGGCCGCCACTCTGAGCCCTTCCCTGGGCGCCGGAACAGTACCGAGCAAATCGACGTTGGATGGTCCTTGACCCTCGAGGACTTGGGACAAAGGGGGGAGGACTTCATATACCTTCACCTCAGAGCCGCCATCACTAACAGCAAGCCTCTGGCCTGTCGAGGGGCAGAGGGCACTGTATGACGCTGAAGGTAGATCGCCACTGAAGGCATAGACCTTAGGTAGGGTCGGCGTCTGTCCATCAAAGACCCATGATGCAGAACCAACAGCCCATTTCCCCTCCTCTTCGTTCAGACGGGGCCATATGAGCTCCGACAGTCTAGATGCTGAAGATACGTAGAGCCTCTCGGAATCCAACGGCCAGTGGAGCCGGCCCGAGCTCGAACTCATAGGATCCAAAGTAGCCCGGAGGACAGTACAACACTCTCCCGTGGAGACGTCCCAGGTTCGAACCTCGCCGTTTGCATACCGCACCGCCAACAGATTAGAGCAGGACCTTGCTGAGCACCAGGCCACTGACGTGACCTCCGCCGTCCTTAGGCGTCTCAGTACCAGTGGGGTCGCCGAGGACAGTCCCACCGTGGCCGACTCCCACACTACTACCACATTCGAATACGCCACTGCCAGTAAGGATCCATCTCTAGGGGAGTACTCGATGACAGAGGGGGCCACAGGGAGACTGCGATTAGCTATGATCTGCCAATCCTCGTGCACGCCCGACAGGGACGTTATAACGAGGCCAGACACAGTACCCAGGGCTATAGATAGAGGACACGGTGAGGGAGCAAAGGCGACGCAGCTTCCTGAAGGGACGAGCAAGCACTGACAGTGATCAGAGTCGGCTGGCCATACCTGTGACCCGAGGGGTCTTCTTAGGCAAAGCCAAATTGAAGACTTTACGATGAAGCCGATCGATGAGGGTAACATCGCCCTTGGGGGATACCAAGACGTTGTAAGGGGCCGAAGGATGCGATGAGCAGTGCCATTGGGGACTAGCAGCTTCCAAAGATATCTATGCAACAATAACTGTCGACGTCTCAAGGGCCTCCAAGACTCACCCGGGGTGCCTTCAAAAACCATGAAGTCACAGCGTAGTCTGCAGAGAGCTGATCCAGAGTGCTCCACGGGGCTAGCAGGTCATTGGCGAGGAACTACATCCCAACATCAATGAGGACAGGTCCGGTTCTATCCGAGTACCTCTCCCACGGCTCCCCACTGTCGAAGCCTGTCCAGCAACCCACTGGTCTTCCCCTCCCCTATAGTGTTGGTCGCGGCCAAAGTCGACGCACTCAAAGACGGTAATGGTCCACCGTGGTCGTCAGCAGTGAGTGATGCCAGCCAGGCCTCCGCACTGCAGCTACTCACCTGAGGCCCAGGTGGATCGATCGAGAAGCGAACCGATGATCTACGAAATACTACTCCCACTGAGTCCAAGTCATGACGTATTCTGCCTTCGCTCTCAAAGCTGAGCTTATCCTTTTTGCCACCCCCAGTACGAGCATCTGACCACGAACTGTGTCGAAGAACAACATCGCGAACAATGGATGGGCCTCATCGCCACTAGTACCATCAGCGTTATCCTCCTCAGCAGAAAGCGAACTGGTTCCCCCAGTGCTCCTCCGACGGAACGTATTGGGACTGAGCGTAGGCGGGGTAGAGGCAGCGCGCCTCCTACCGTGGTCGTTACTGCCCGACCGAATCGGGGAGAGAGATGGCGAGGACGTCAGCATAGCTCAAAATGCCAACACTGCAAAGGCAAACTTCTGACGAGAAACGCCAGCTTGAAGGCCCCATCCAATGGAAGACTAACATGAGGATCTTCGGGGCCTCAAGAGACCAACAAGGCCCTAGGTACCCAAGAGTCTGATACATAGTACTCTGCTAAAGCTCCTATTTGATGAGAACCTAGCACGAAGACTCCTTCAATAGAGGGCACTTCAACAAAAGATGGTAAGAGATGCTGGGACAGTTATTTATGATTACACTATGGCAGGGCATGCTCCATTTGACGGCATATTGCCGATCCAACGCTACAGTCAACTGAGGATCTACATAGTGTCAAGTAGTGGGTCGGCGGCTGCCGATTGCAATGTACTGGGCAGTCCTATGGTCCAGGTGATGAAGGGATATGCTCCCTAGCAGCCGCTCAGGCATGTCCACTTCTTCTTGGGACTCCACCTAAAGCGAATCCACTACGACTGAGTACTGCGGAACCGAGAAAAACAACCCACGAGTTGAATGAAAACCAGAGACGTTCAGCGACCCCAACGATCGATCCGCTACGTTCAGGCTATTACCAGGTATCCAACATCTAGTACGACGTCCCTCACACGCTCCTTCACTTGGGCTAGCGTTGTCCGGGCTATTAGAGACCACTTACGAACATCGTAGTCGATCTCAACATACCGGTACGGTCGAGAACCTAAGTGTGCCCCTTGGGGTCCGAGGGGGAGGGTCGACACTGACCTTCCAGGATGGTCGCGCTCCCTGTTATGAGGGCCGGCTTGCCGTTGTATCTTTCTATGATGCCCATAGCGGGTAAGCTTGGGAGATCAGTGAGGTTCTGGACCCGACCAATGACTTTAAACGGAAGATTCCGATCAGAGATGCCTGATGATAGAAAGGACACCTTGCGCGAATAGGAAGGTCCCCACCTCGGTCCAAGAGGTTGAGCCACAATCTGACTGATCTCGGCACGTCGGGGTCGTGGGGCCTCGAGGACCTACCACCACAGAGGCTCTCATGAGACCTTTGGGGTAAGTGAAGGGATCTCACCAAGAAGCCATCTCCCGAGTGATCATGAAATAGACGATGACACTATAGCCCGGATGAGGCTTTTGCGTCACGAAGGGGTTGAAGGACGGCCCCTCCCCAGGCACTTGGGCGTTCACTACGACCAACGCTGGGGCATCACACTGCGATGTGTACCTGGAATTGCTTATGAAAAACGCCCATACGGGTAACTAACCTCACCATGGAGGAAGGGGAGGGAAATTCATATGCCTTGCGACGTCCGATAGCACATCATCTCCCCGCAAAAGGTCGGCCCCTATGGGCTCATATAGGGCTGGTAGGCTAGGCGCTTTGGTCCCAGTGCGAGCATAGTCAGGACCGCACCTTACACTGAAGTGGCAGGCCTCTCGAGGTGACCACGTCGCTGTCCCGTGGGGCGTGTCCTCCTGTCGGAGAGGCAAGGAAGCACCCATATTGTGGGAGACCAGAGGAAGTGGGTCCGGCGATGGTATCCATAGCGGACCATCTGCTGTCTGTTTCGCTGTGACATAAGAGACTTCACTGACGGTTCGTGAAGGAGGGGTGATGGAAAGAGTGAAGGTGATATCTCGTGGATCCACGATGGTCTCCGGTCGCGGGAAGATGCCAACACTGACGGCGGAGTAGTAGGCGGAAACACTCCCTGGTGGGGACTGGCCGAGGGAGAGGGCCGGGGAGGAAGCGTCGATGCCATCCCATTGGTCGCCGCCGCTATTGGTGGACTTACGCCACTTGTCAAAGCGGTAGGAGGAAGTGACAGTTACTTTCTGACAGAGTGCACGGCATCCACACGTGGCCATAAAAACGGGAGAGGAACTAACACGGAACATATATTTCATCGTGAACTTTCACGAGCTAAAATGCGCACTGGCAGTTTGAGCCTGTGGTCAGCATTTAGTTGAGGAGTAAATGAACGTCAAATCAAAGATGACTACGCCGACGATAATTATTCGACGAGAAGAGGTGATCTTTTCGCGCGTGGCAATGTAGGTGATGGAAAATCCAGTGGCATCTCTGTGGGAGACAGAAGTTTTTCACACGTCACGGAATTCTCAAAGCTCATTAACGACCAGTTCTGGGAATTGGTTTTGAGTTCTATTGAGCGGCCCAAAAACCAGCCTTGGAATAAATCCCAGAATCAGTTCAATGAACATCACTTAATAGCTACTACGCAAATTATTATAACGTCCCGACACTCCGGCCGTCACGACGACGACAACAACACATGATTTCGGGCGTGCGCTTTTTCAATTTTTTGGAGTTAAGATTCACAACAGGTGGTTTATGAACAATCCAAGTGCCCGGTCAAGTGGGAAGGACTAGACTGCTAAGGTTCTGCTGACGGGCCGAGCGGTGGCAGGAAAAACCAGTATGCGGTCGATCATTTTCGCCAACTATCTCGATACTGTGGGTGGTTTAAATTCTTGGTGATGGCAAGAGAGATAGTTCGAACTTCGTCGAGGCAGTTTAATTCTTCGTCGTCGCCCGACGTCTACTTGCGGGGTTATCACATCAACATTGAATCATAGTGGTAGTCGGGAGTTCGGTTTTTCTCAAGGTATGGCTCGTGTACGCGGATGCGGTCCCTGGCAGTCGTTAGATGTGACTGTTGAAAAAATGCAGAGAAGCCAATGGATTGCCTCTCCGCACCGTAGCCCTGGTGAAATCGCCAGTTTGCACCTGCTAGTTTTGCTCGTGCTCACTGAAACCGCAGCATGTGACTTAGCGACAAGAGTGTGCATGTCAGCCCGGGGTGGACGTGAGTCACTGGCACGTGGGATGTTCTGAGGGGAGATGAGGTTGTCTCGGTAGTCTGTGGTCTTTGAGAGGAGTTGATCATCAACTGGGACATCTAGCCGCTTGGGGGGTAGATGTCTCCGCAGAAGAAATCAAATTGGCGTTAATTTCGGGTTTAATCCCGGCTCGTATCTGAGCTACTTCGCTTGGTGGGCAAGAGGTTTGAACCTACACGTCTCGATAGGCCATGGTGATGCGTTTTAATATCATTTATCACAGCAACGTTCGTAGTCTTCTCATCACCACATGCCCACGTCGCCGTCCCAAAACCCGCTGTCGGCGCTCCCACGAGGTATCATGGAGAATCTTAGAGTTCTCGAGCTCGCGACGTACATTGCCGGACCGGGAGCAAGTCTTATTTTTACGGAGCTTGGTGCTACCACGATTAAGGTGGGGAGTTCACTCGTTCTCACTAATGACCACTCGGTAGGTTGAAACCCCGTCGACGGATGGGTCTAGTGCTGGTGGCGATCCTATGCGACAGCTTCTGCTGCCCTTCGAGCCTGGCAGGCCCCATAGTAGCATTTTCGAGATGTTCAATCGCGGCAAGGAAAGCATCTGCCTTGACTTGAAGTTAGAGAAGGTGGTGGCTCCAACAACCGCCCAGGCAAATTCACTCAGCTCGCGAGCTTTCAGGATATGCAACTCTTCTGGGAGCTTCTCGAAGATGCTGACGTTTTTATCACAAATGTTCGTATTGATTCCCTGTGTAGTCTGGGTATTGACCACCGAACAGTGTGTGCACAGCTACCATCGCTGGTTTATGTCCTCATGACGGCGTGGGGGACCAAAGGGCACGGATATCAGAAACCTGGTGAGAACAGCCGATCCGCGGTTTCAGCTTCATCGAGATGGTTGATGGATGGGCGCTGAATTTCGGACATTTGTCAGGACTGAATTCTCCTCTTTGTTTCCACTCAGTGGAGCTGCTCATACGACAAGCATTTCT